AAATGTCAAAAATCTGACGATTCTGGCCAAATTTCGGGCGATTTCTCAACTTATTTTTAAAACTCCACATTTTAACAAAAAAAGTTGAAATATTTTTATAACGTTGAAACTTTGAAAAAAATGGCCCATTTCCGTTGAAATTGTATGAGGAACCAAAAAATTCCTGAAAAAAGGCTCCAAATCTACAAAAATTCGAATTTTCCAGACACGAAACGGTCGCATTTGGAATGGCTTTTTTCCTGATTTTCGCCTCTTTTTTTATTGAATCTCTAATTTTTTAAAAGAATGAGCCGATTCTCTACATTCCGGTGTTAAGATTGAATATTTTTCCTTTGTTTTTTTGGTTCAATTTCCAGGAAAAAAAAGACAAAAAAAGCTTATTTTTTTACCAAAAAAAGTTCCTTTCTTGAAGCTGATGTACCTGACATTCCCGTTTCGGATGAGAATCAAATAGATGAAATATTTTTTTATATGGACTACCGTTCGCTTCTTGAAATTATTTTTTTAATAAAATTCTCAAAAAAACGTAAAAAAATTCTGAAATATGTAGCTCACAATAAAACTCGCAGAAAAAAATTTGAAAAAAATTTCATTTTTTTCATTAATTTTCAAACAAAGAAAAAAACCATGAAAAGTTGCGCCAGGGCCAAAAATCTTCAATTTTTCTGATTTTTGCTCTAGTTCATAACCCAATCTTCAATCTTTCCTGATATAATATCCCCTTGCAGGTGTTAAATTGAATTTTTTCTGATTATCACTTTTCAAAAAAAGCACAAAGAGAGAATTATTCAAAAACCAAGAAAAAATCATCGCAAAAGCTCAAAAATTTGTATCTTCTCCCTTTTTTTCCATGTGTATTTTCGTACAACCGCCCTTGTTTTCAACTAAAAATTTGTACCTTTCCAGAAAGCAAACAATTTTCTCTCTTGTCTCAGAATCAACATATTCCGGATTCAAATACGCAACTTCAGTAATTTGTTATCAAAAAGGTGCTGCAAAGTCGAAAATTATCAATGTTGGCTGATAAAATGTCTCTGATTCACATGAAAAACCTCCATATAATTAGAGAATAGTGGAGTTTGATAAGAGTCAAAAAGAGGGCTAAAAATAATGGCAAAAAGAAGTTCGCCCTGGACGGGGGTCGAACCTGTGACCTCTCGAACTGTAAACTAGTGTCTTAACCACTGAGCTAAAGCTTCACATATTCATTTTTGATGAAAATTAGCGCTTTTTAGAGCGTTTTCGAATAAATATCGAAATTTCCTATCTAATCAAACAAAAATCTGTGTTTAATTCCGATAGACAGACTGGAGAGCATGTCAATTTCGAATCATGCTTTTGAAACTTTTATCAATAAGCCAATTCATCAAAAATTAATCACATGGAATCGAATGACATACTGCGAAAAAGGCTCATCAGAGAGCAAAAATCGAGGGAAAAATTTTTTTTCAGAAAAGATCAGGATGATCAAGGTCGTCCCTATAGGGATCCCTAAGTGAGAAAAAGAAAAAGGTGTCAATATTTTGACAAAAATACGGGCAAAAAACAAAAAAATGATACAGATCGACCTTGTAAATTCGATAGAGATCGACCCTGTGACCTATCGTTTAGATAGTAAGGTCGAAAAATACCTGGCTAAAAAAATTCCTGATTTTTTCCAAACTATATTGTTTTTTTTTCTAGGGCTTCCCTTACAATAAAGCTTCTCAAAGTGAAAAATTCGACAAACTCCTTTTTTTTTTTTTTTCAGTAGTTTTTTTGGAAATCGGGATTGTACTATTTTTTTCTTTTGTAGATGAAAAATTATTCTTCATTTTTTCCCCAACCCCATTTTTTTTCGAAAACGAGCCTATATGCTTTATCTACAACGCAAAAGTGAACTTTTCCAAGTTTCCCACTTTTTTTGAGGCCTTGGGGGCCAACTTTGGTCAAAAACTGGGAATCAGCTTGAAAATCTCTCCTTTTTAAAAATTGAGTTGACTTCTAACCCAGAAAAATTTCAAATCGCCAGTTTTTATCCCAAATAAAAATGGCAAAATAAGTTTGACGTGAGCCGGGATCGAACCTGGGACCTATTGAGTGAGCGTCCAGCTCTTTAGCCACTCGGCCAAGGTTCAAACTTCAACTTTTCACAAATTTTAGCGGCTTTTCGCGTGTTTTTCCAACATATTTTCAAGCTTACAAACTTATAATTTTTTCCAAGTTAAGAAAAAATCAAAAGTCCAACACACACGAAAAAAAGGGGTTCAAAGATGACTTTTTCTTCCAAAAAAAAAATGGAGAAATCCAAGTGACTTCTCGGTTTGATTGCAAATTGGACCTGGGGATTGAATTTCATCGAGGAAATTAAACACGGACCAAAAAAATCCGGGGCAAACATGTTTGTTTCTGGGGCGGTTTTGTTGGTTTTTGCATTTTTTTGAATTTGGAGAAAAAAAATAAAAAAATGAAAGGAAAAGGGAAAGAGGATTTTTGATTTTTTTGATTTTTAATATAAACTTTGAATGGGAATAATGTTGAACTCCGATAAAAAAATTACAATTTTTTTCAAGCTTATTGGCCAAGAAAATATTTTTCACTATCTAAAAATGAAGAAACTTTCCAACTTCTTGAAGCAAAATTGAGCAAAAAATAAGAAAAAAAAATTAGAAAAAAATTATCGGAAAGAGTTTCTATATGAAAATTGTATGTAAATAATCTCCAGGTCGTGTAAAAATTTCTCGAAAAATGGATTTCTAGGAACTAGGAAATCATTTATGTATTGGAAACGAACGGATTTTTCCAACTTCTTGAAAGAAAATGACCAGAAAATTGAGAAAAAAATTTGAAAAAAAGGATGATTTTTTTAAAAATTTTCTATATGAATTTTGAATAGAAATAGTGTCCAAAAAAAGTTGAAAAAAATACTTTTTTTCGATAGATCAATCCTCTAGAAGCTTGAGAAGATTATTTATATGTCTCAAAAATGAATGGACTGTTCATCTTCTTGAAGGAAATTGAGCTAAAAAAATTGGGGAAAATGAGTAAAAATTTTTTTCAAAAAAAGATGATTTTTTTCGATTTTTCTATATGAATTTTTGAACGGAAATAATCTCCAGCTCGTGTAAAAAAATTATTTTTCCCGAAAAAAATGGATTTCTAGGAATTCTAGGAAATAACTTATTGATTAAACGAATGAATTTTTTTCAACTTCTTGGAGAAAAAAATGAGCGTATTTTTGAGAAAAATGAGAAAAAAATCGCAAAAAAAAATGGTTTTTTTCCGATTTTTCTATACGAAATTTGAATGTAGATAATCTCCAAGTCGTTTAAAAAGACTAATTTTCTCGAAAAATGGATTTCTAGGAATTCTAGGAAATCACTTATAGGTCTAGAAACGAATTTTTCAACTTTTTTTGGAGCAAAATTGAGCGGAAAATCAAGGAAAAAAAATTTTTTTGGATTTTTCTATACGAATTTTGAATGGAAATAATGTCCAGGTCGTGTAAAAAAATAATTTTTCTTGAAATATGATCACTTATTGATTAAAAAGAAAGGATTTTTGCAACTTCTTGAAGCAAAATTGAGAGGAAAAATCAAGAAAAATTAATCGGATTTCGATATGAATTTTTGAATAGAAACAAGATCCAGGTCGTGTGAAAAAAATAATTTTTTTAAATAAGTTAAGCCTTCAGGAACTTAAAAGCCGAACAAACTATTATTAAAATAAAAAAATAAAAAAAAGGCAAAAAAACTACTCATCCATTTTTTTGTATCAAAATTGAGCAAAAACTTGAGAAAAATGAGAAAAAGACAACCTTAAATCGCGACCTTTGCCGACCCGATAAAAGTCCGATTTTTACTGGTTTCACGAAGAAAAACAGGAGTCTACTTTGACTTTTAGAGACCCCAACGCAACAAAGAACAAAATAACGGAGAAAAAAAGTTGTTTTTCAGCTCGAAAAATGAGTAAAAAAAACTCATTTTCTTGAATTTCTCGACCAATATCAATTAAGAAAACGTTTTTTTCAAAGTTCCACTAAAAGGACAAATTACTTTCGTGTACTACGACCCCCGAAAATAAACAAATATCGTGAAAAACAAGTCATAACTTATTTTCTGATCAAAAAGTGCGTTTTTTGGACATTCCAGTGATGAAAGTTTGGTTTGGATTTTTCACAAAAAAATCTTAAAAAAATTCGGATTCTTCATGGCATTCAAACCTTAAAAAAAGCGCCAATTTCTGATAATTTCGAAAAAAATCGTTTTTCTGCGCCGCGACGCGACCGCGTTACTCCCACAAAATCGGTCAAAAGTTCAAAAAAATAAGTATAACTTTAAATTTTAGTTTCTGAACCGTGACGCGACCGCGTTGCGACTAAAATAACTCGAAGCTACCTGAAAAAAAGCAGATTTTTTTCCAGAAAAAAAGTATTCATTAATTCAAACTAGATCTAGATTTTCGGAAAACTAATCGTTAAAAATTTCTAAAAAACTGAATTCTTTTTTTCATAAACCGCGACGCGACCGCTCGCGTTATTCAAAACTCAATTTTGATCAAACCTTCCCAAAAATTTGTCGAAAAATCAAAAAATAGGTATAATTAGGAAGATCGGTTGCCTGAACCGCGCCGCGACCGCGTTGCGACTTAAAAACTCAAAAAATCTCGATTTCGATGCACCCTCCAACACTCCATTGTCAATCATACTCGCACAAAATCGGTCAAAAGTTCAAAAAATAAGTATAATTTTGAATTTTGGTTTCTGAACCGCGACGCGACCGCGTTGCGACTGAGTTAACTCAAAAAAATCTCGATTTCAATGCACCTTTTTTTCTGCATATACCTATTTCCATTCGAAATATGATAAAACTAAATTTTTTTCAAAAAAAGCTGAATTCTTCATTATTGAACCGCGACGCGACCGCTCGCGCCTTCCAAAGCTCCATTTTGATCCACTCTTCCAAAAAAATTGGTCAGAAAACCCGGAAATGACGTAAGTCTTACTCATTTCTACTCGATAAATGTCCACTGCCGGTTCGTTCATTTTTCTTCCTTCCTCATTCATTTTTCCCATGAAACTACAAAAACCTGCAGATTTAATGATGAAAATAGACAAAAAAGCGGGAAATTCTGAATGACAGGTGAAACTAGACCGTAGATTACTGGTTAAGTCACCGGAAGGCTCTTTTTTTTTTGGTGGTTCGATAAACTTTTTTCGATAAATTAATCCATGATTTTTGATTCACAAAAGTCAAAGATCGAGTTGAGAGACCATTTTTCGGACCAGAATCGGGTGATTTTTCAGAAAACTATCGGAAAAAATTAATAAATCGACAAAAATTCTCTCATTAAGTTCAAAAAAGTGGTTGAAAATCGGTCGTTGAGTCTTAACAGAGTGGCTAAAGATCTAGATGCATGTGCTAGAGATCACAAGTTCAATCCCCATCGAGGCGAAACATTTTTGCCAATACGAATAGAGCTGAAATCGGTCATAGATCCCTGGAAGACTGGCTAAGGACCTAGATTTCTGGCTGGAAGTTACAGGTTCAATCCCCTTCGCGGCAAAAATTTTTTTGCCATTTCGACTAAAGCTAAAACCATTAATAAAGGCTTGGTAGAGCGGCTAGAAACCTAGATTTTTGTGCTAAGGGTTTCAAGTTCAATCCCCATCGAGGCAAGATATCTTTTTCCATTTCGACTAAAGCTAAAACCGTTCATAAAGGCTTGGCAAAGTGGCTAAAGATCTAGATTTCTGTGCTAGAGATCACGAGTTCAATCCCCATCGAGGCGAAACATCTTTTGCCATTTCGAATAAAGCAAAAATCGGTCCTAGTGCCCTTGGCAGAGTGGCTAAGGATCTAGATTTCTGTGCAAGAGGTCAAAAGTTCAACCCCCATCGAGACACAATTTTTTTGCCATTATGAAGAAGGCTAAAATCGGGCCCTAGATCCCTGACAGAGTGGCTAAATGTTTAGATTTCTACGCTAAAGGCCGTAAGTTCAATCCCCATCGATGCAATATTTTGTTGCCAATACGAATTTAGCTAAAATCGGTCATAAAGCCCTAGCAAAGTGGCTAAAGCTCTAGATTTCTGTGCTAGGGGTTACGAGTTCAATCCCCATCGAGGCAAAATTTTTTTTTGCCAATTCGAATAAAGCTATTTAGAAACTTCAAAGCCACAAATTTCATTCTAAAACTCTTCATTTCACCTTATGACCACTTTAAAAAATGGCAAAAAAAAATTCGCCACCGATAGGACTCGAACCTATAACCATTTGAATGTTGGTTTCCAGATTCAGAAGCACTAATTTCTTCACAAAACTCAAAGTTATTCTTTATTCAACCTTAAAAAAACATTTTTTTGAAAAAAATGGCAAAAAAAATTTAGCCACCGAGAGGAATCGAACCTGGGATCATATCAGTGTCAAAAAACCTCGTTTATAGATGAAAATCGCTTTTTCTTTTTTTTTTAATGGCAAATAAAAACCTCGCCACCGAGGGGACTCGAACCTGGGACCATATCTGTGTCAAAAACATCCGTTTTTGATAGAAAATCGTCGCTTTACTGTCAAAATCAAGTTTAAAACAGTTGAAATAGCAATTAATTCAGGCCAATCCTTTCTTGAGCCAGAAAACCGGCGGGGAAATGCAATAATTCGCTCTGGAACAGTGCCTTTCTACCTGATTTGTGGCCTCGGAGGCACTTTGAGCGCAGGTTTTTGTCTATAATATCCTCAAAATGATATGGATTTTCTAGGCGGTACTCATTTGGCGATAACTCCATTGGATCTGATTAAATGTCGAATGCAAACAAATCCGGGAAAATACTCGGGGATCGCTCAAACTGCGAAACTAACAGTGGAACAAGTGACTGAATTTCTCAATATTCTAATTTTGTTCAGTGGCCCCTTAAGAGGTTTCTCAAGGACTACTTGGAGAGGACACTATAGTGATTACTAAAACCACCTCTATGGAAGCCACTTTTTCACGTCTTAGTGGCCACTATAGTAGTTTTGATGGTCTAGTAGTAACACCTAGTCTTCTGAAGTGGTCACTAGTTTGACTACTATAAAGGCCACTGAGGCGTCAAAACCCTAAAGTAGCCACATTGGAGAGGACGCTAAAGTGGCTACTAAAGCTACAAGCTACATCTATTGGCGCCACTACTATAGGGGCCACTAAAAAGTCAAAACCCTAAAGTGGCCACATTGGAGAGGACGCTATAGTGGCTACTAAAGCTACATCTATTGGCGCCAATGTTTTGCGTCTTAGTGGCCACTCTAGTAGTTTCAATGGTCTAGCAGTACCACCAACTCTTCTAAAGTAGCCATTAACTTGAATACTATAGTGGCCAATCAAACGTAAAAAGCCTAAAGTGACCACTAAAAATTTTCCAAGCCTACATTTCGATACATCCCTTAAAAGGTAAGTCATTGGACTTTGAATTTTTTAAAAGTTGGCCAGAAAGCTCCTACGAGTACCCCAAAAGGATTCTGAAGGTTTCAACCTGCAAAACTACCTATTTTTTGAGAAATAAGGCCTCCAAGCCCGAAAAAGCCTATTTTAACGGAATTTGAAGGTTTCTTTTGACTTTGAGATGTCCTTTTTCAAAAAATCGGAAGTTTTGCTGATTGAGACTTTCATGATCTGCTTCTGGTACATCAAGGAGTATTATGGCCGATTTTCAAAAAATTTCTCAAGCCTGAAGTAAAATGACCTTTCTTGTTGATATTTTAACAAAATCAACTTCTTCATTGACTTTTTCAGGTTTTAAACTAATTAAAAGTCCCAAAATTCTTAAAAAAGGTCAAAAATCGATTCAGGACGGTTTGAAAGGCCTGGCGAGAGGATGGGCGCCAACGGCGTTAGGTTACGGACTTCAGGGCTTCTCGAAATTCGCTTTTTATGAAGTAATCTTCCGTTTTTTAAGTTATCATGCATTTTCCAAAGAACCAACTTCAAATAGCAGTTGGAAAATTCGGACAAGACACCATATTGGGATGAAAAATCAAAAACGGTCATTTTTCAGGTTTTCAAGAAAAAACTATCCGATGCTGTCGGCGATGAGAAAGCTCACAGGTGAATATGAAGAATCAAAAGTACATAGAAGGTCCAAAGTGGTCCCTCTAGGGGCAGCCTTAGGGCCGAAGGTTGCCTTCTAGGGACCGCTTTACCTCTCCCAAAAGGGGCCACTTAAGCTTATAAAAGTGGCCCCTATAGGGGTTCCAAAAAGTGGCCCTTGGAGGGGTTTCAATTAGAGGCTTCTTCAAGGGACATGCTAGCAAAAGTGGTCCCTATAGGGGTCCCAGTCAGCGGCCCTCTGGGGGATATTCTAGTGACCTCTATAGGGGTTCTAATTAGAGGCTTCTATAAAGGACATGCTAGCAAAAGTGGCCCCTATATGGGTTCCAAAATGTGACCCCTATGGAGGTTCCAGTTAAAGGTCTCTATAGGGTACATGCTAGTGCCCCCTAGAGGGAAACAATAATTTTCAAGCATTAACTCAAAAACTTTTTCTCAAGTTTATAGTATCCCTACTGAATGGCTACAAAGTTCTAAATGATAAAAAAAAGGCGAAATATATATTTTTTTTTCCAAAAATTTTTTCGCTCTGAAATACAACAAGGTACACTGCAGACGCTCAAAATCTCTTCAAAAAATATTATTTTTCAAGATACCGTGGATTAATCTATTTGGCGTCGGCCAGTATGGCCGAAGCGATCGCAGATGTTGCCCTGGCGCCATTTGAAGCTGCAAAAGTTCGGTTAGTCCTTTTTTTTTGAATAAAAACTCTTAAAAAGGGTCAGGGATTCCGCAAAGTTTGAAAATAGCCAAAAAAAATAGCACCAGTAGCTAGAAAATCAGCCTAAAATACTTGAAACTGCACGATTATTTAAAAAAAAATCAAAAATTTAGGACAAAAATTGAAGACAATTTTTACATACAGTCAGTTCTTCAGAATGCCCTTATCTATATTAAAAAAACTTAAAAAAATTAATTTTTGAAACGGGAATTTCAAAGTTTTTCAAGAACCCAGACGGACCCAAGTGCACCCAAGGAAATGCGAAAATGTTTGCCGATAATCTACAAACAGAGCGGATTTTTCAGGCCTTTTCAAGGTTTTTTTTTTAAAAACTACTTTTCGATAAAATATCGATTTTTGAAAAATCTATAGTTTTTGACGTCTTTGACCTTTATGAACTTGTGGAATGTATTTTTTTAAACTTATTTTTGAAAAATCAAATATTTTTTTATCAAATTTTTTTCAAAATGAGCCGTGGTCGCACGTGGAATGGATGAAAGCGTTAGAAGTATGATTTGAAATTCGTACTGGTTTTTTTCCAACGCGCAAGTCGCTTCAAGTCGGCCGCAGATTCAAGCCATTCAAAAGCTATTAAGGAGTATTCAAGCAGATGAAAAAAATAACCTTATTTGATCGAAAAATTAAAGTTTACTTTAATCAGAAGCTCAATTTATACTCGGGCAAAGTCAGGATGCTGAATAATGGCCGCTAGAAGGGAGAGGCTCACAAAAGGCAGCAAAAAGGTCGCAAAAAGGCAGCAAAAAGGCAGCAGAAAAGCCCCTCAAAGGCAGCAAAATGAGTCGCTTTATCGAGCCTTTCGCTTTTCTGAGATTTTAAGGGTCAAGAAATGCTGGAAAAAGGGAGAGGCAGCAAAAATGGTGCATATTAGCCCATAAAATGGCTCAAAATGGCAGCAAAAAGGCAGCCTTTTTCCACCTTTTCCGACTTTGTCTATGAAAAATCACTGAAAAATCAGTCAATTTTGTAACCCAAGTTCTAACCCTCTCATTTCTGAACACTATTTCGTTGCTCGCTCCCAAACCGATTCTCGGAACTTCGGGACAAAAAAGTGTATTATTTTTCCCACGTTGCCTAGTCAAAATTGTTACTTTCTCACCAAACTTTCTCGAAATAGCCCATTCCGTCACAACTACCGTAATTTTGGCTAATCACAACCTTACAAATACACGTTCTTTACGTCAAAAATCATCATTGGACTCGATTTTGCCCTTTTAGAAAAAGAAAACAAGTCAATTAGACATGATTACCGTTCATTACAATTGCGGGAATACTCAATTAGGCGATATTTCAGGTCTAAAAGTAATTGTACCTTTTTAGATTACGTCAAATAAAGTCACTAAAAAGGGGTTTTTTCAAGAATTTTTTCAAAAATCCACAAATTTTCACCTAAAATTGCTCTGCAAAATGAAAAAAAACTGTTCAAAAATTACACGAAAAACCCAAGAAATTCAACCCTAACTAAAATGGATCTCAAAAAAATGATTTGTGACGTCATCAATGAGCTCAAAAATGACGTCATTAATAAAGGTGACGTCATTAAAAACAGTTTAAGCGACGTCATAAAAAACTTTTAGAACACAGATCGGTTTCCTTTTTTTGTTCAAAAGTAAGAAAAATTCCTCAATTTTCCAGTAAAATCTATTTAAAAAAATGACATAATGACGTCATAATTTCAAGATGACGTCACTTGAAAAAAATCAATTTTTTTCTGGAAAAAAATGAAAAATGTGTTTTTTTAACCTAGTTCATTTTGACTTCTTTATCAAAACTAAAAGATCAAATATTCCTACAATAATCTTTTAAAAAAATGACGTCACAACACTTAAGGGACTACCACCGTTGTGGATGCGTCAAATTCCATACACGGCTTCAAAATTCATTTGCTTCGAATTCGCTATAGAGGTTTCCGAGTAACTTGAACCCCAAAAAGTTCATTTTTCAGACAATTTACAAGAATTTCTTAAAATCTCGATCGCAGGATTGTACGAAAAGCCAACAAATGGCTGTCACGTTGGCGGCCGGATGTGTGGCTGGTAAGGTTGGAAAAAATAGCCGTCAATGGTGGAATTTGTGCGCTCTATTAATAATTTAGCTATTTTTTGAAGAGAATGCTCTTAAAAGCTACTTTTTGAAAATTTTTCTGCCTAATTTAAGAAAAAAAGAGGGTTTCAAACAAAATGCGCTCTATCGTTAATTGAGCTCAAATTTCGAATACTGATGCCTTACTAGTTGTTTTATGAGCTTGTTTTTAAGAATTAAAAAAATTACGAAAAAAATGTTAAAAAAACCGGTTTTGAAAAAAAGTAACCACAAAAAGCTACTTTTTGAAAATTTTTCTCTTGAATTTCAAAAAAAGTGGTTTTCCAAATCAAATGCGCTCTATCGCTAATTGAGCTCAATTTCGAATTCTGACCCTCTGCAACTTTAAACAATAAAAAAATTACTAAAAAAAATGTTTAAAAACCTGGTTTTGAAAAAAATAACCACCAAAAAAACTGCTTTTTTTGAAAAAAATTTCTGCCTAATTAAAAAAAAATCAGGTTTCAAACCAAATGCGCTCTATTGATAATTGAGATCAGAGTTCGAAGATGGTTTTAATCCGTAAAAAAACCAAGAAGGTTCTAGAATTTTGTTGAAAAAAGATCGCCTGATTTCAAAAAAAAAGTGGTTTTCAAATCAAATGCGCTCTATTGATAATTCAGCTCAATTTTGAATTCTGACCCTCTGCAACTTTAAAATTACGAAAAAAATGTTAAAAAAACCTGGTTTTGAAAAAAAGTAATCAACAAAAAAAGTTACTTTTTTTAAAAAAATTTTTCCTGATCAATTTCAAAAAAAATGGGTTTCAAACCAAATGCGCTCTATTTATAATTCAGCTCAAAAACAAAGATTTGTTGTTCCAAATTAAATTTCTCTCTAATTTTTGTCAAAAAGTAGCAAGCTTGGGCAAATATTTTTTTCAAAAAGCCTATTCAAAAAAATCCGAGAATTCCGAAAATATGATGCTTTTTTTCTAGAATTCATCATGAAAAAAAGAACTGAAAAAGAGAACGAAATGTTGAGATTTTTTTACAAAAAAATTTGATTTTTTTAAGATTCTCATGTTTCCTAGTGATCAAATGACTACGAAAAAAAGGGATGAATAGGTCTCAAAAATAGAAAAATTTCTTCCTGATTTTTTCAAAAATCCAGTCCGTACGAGGAAAAAAACATTTTTTTGGTTTCAGAAAAGCACCAGTGCTTTGATAAAGCGGCAGAACAATCTAAATTTGTTTTTGAATCCGGATAGATTGTTGAAAAAAAAGAAAAAAATATACAGATCTAGTGATAAAATTATCATTTTACAGGTGTAGTCATTTCTCAAAATTTTCAAAAATCGAGAATCTTTTCATGGTTATGTGACTTTAGAAACCAAATAAAAAAATCCTAGACCAAAAAAATCAGAAAATAATCGAGCTTAAGACCACTAGAAACATCTATAAATGTATAAAAACCCCCTCAAAAATCGAAAAAAATGTTCAAAAAAACAGTATAAAAAAAGCGCTCAATAAGACGTTCTTCATGAAAAAAAGCTCAAAAAAATTAATTTTTAAAATTATTTTTAAAAAGTGGGTGTCGAACGAAATGCGCTCTATTGACAATTCAAAATTGTATCGGTTTCAGAAAAAGTCCAGTGCTTGAAAATTCAGCCGCCTATCGTTTTTTAAAAGTCCGGATAGAGAATTGAAAAATGAAAATATGCAAGTCTAATGATACGATTATCATATTACAGGCGTAGTCTGTGCAATTTGCTCCCATCCACCTGACGTAGTAGTGTCCCAGGTGTACAAAAACTCTGACGTCGGACTTTTCGAAGCGATCCGGTGAGTTGTTAATGATAGTAGATTCACTTTCGCTCTTTTTTGCTACTTATGAAGCCCTTATCAAGCTACTTTCCAGCTCCTTTTGACCTCAAAACATTGAAAATATACCTAAATACAGAAACTTGGGCTCCACACACTTTTTTTTCCAGCAGTTTTTTAGCCACTTTTTGAAAATCCAACATTTTTTGTACCCCTTATCAAGCTATTTTCTGGCTCTTCCTGATCACAAAACATTGAAAAACTACCTGAATGCAGGAAAGTTGGGCTCCGCGGGATGTGGTCGGGCTTGGGAGCCCGAATGTTGATGATTTCCTCGATCGCCGCCGCCCAACTCTTCATCGTCGATGCCACTAAAATGACTTTCAATTTGGAACGACCAGAACCTAAATATTGAAAATAAAATTATGTCACTGATCACAAAAATATTTTTTTACGTTCAAATTCGCGTGTGTCGAAGAGTTAAATCTGATTCCGCAAATTAATTTAGCGCACCCGACGTTAAACTACTTCCGCGTGGGGGCATTCGGTCAAATTCCGAAAGCCACTCAAGGTCGGGCGCAGGTGTCGGATAAGTACCAAAAACGGAGCTCTCTGATGCTTTGAGCCCGTCTATGCCGCTAAAGGTCAAACTTCTTACTTTTACACTGCACCCGACCTTAAACTACTTGCGCGCATTGCCGTTTCTGATCATATCATTTCGGTTAGCTCGAATATAACGCAGTCTTGAGCTGAAAAATGGCTCGAATTGCTTCGGTAAACCTGACTCCAGTGCTTATTTCAGCGCATCCGACCTCAAACAACTTTCGCGTGGCGGTATTCTGTAGCGTAGATCATTCGAAACTTACTTTAGGTCGGGCGCAGGTGTCTGATAAGTACCTTATTTGAAGCTCTTTGACGCTTTGAGCTCTTCCATGCGGCTTAAGGTCGAAATTCTTACTTTTATACTGCACCCGACCTTAAACTACTTGCGCGCATTGGCATTTTGAAACATAGATTTTTGGAAAGCACTTAACCAGAAGCAGCCTTGAGCTGAAAAACGGCTCGAAACGTTCTGGAATTCATTTTAGCGCATCCGACCGCAAACTACTTGCGCGTCGCGGCCTCATTGCAACTAATTTTTTGAGAAACGCGACCGCGTCAAGCCATTCCCAGCGGTTTCAGGTCTTTGAAAATAGTGTTTACCCAGCACTTGTGTCGGAGAACGAAGAGCTTCCGATTTGAATCAGAAAATCCCAATAATTGTGTAAACTTCCTGTCTTTTTTTTTCTGGCCTGTTTCAGTTCAGATTAACCTAATTCGGTTGTTTGTGCGTTGCAAATTATGGATACTTCCGGATTTCGATCTGCTTCTATACAAATAGGATAACTTGGACGCTAAAAAAGGATTGCGGGGGTTTCGAGGAGATCGAAATGAGATAGGGTCAACTTGGCGCAGTGGATAGTAGTTTAGTTATTGATACAATACTTATTGGTTCGGTTCCTCTCAGCAACAAGCCTATTTTTGCCATTTTCGTTCAGATTTTTTCAGACACTTTTCTCATAATTTTCAGAATTTGAGAGTCTTTTTGTGGTTATAAGACTTCAGAAAGAAAATAAAAAAAGCCTAGATCAAGAAATCAAAAAAATAATTGGGCTTTAACACTTGAAAAAAAAGAAAATCTCTTCAAAACCAAAAATATTTCGAAAAAAGGTGTATAAAGCGGCAAAAAAATTTCGTGAAAAGATTTAAAAAAAAGCGACTAATCAAGACAAGTTTCATGGAAAAAAACTCAAAAAAATAGGTCTTAAAATTATTTTTTTCTTCTTTTTTTCAAAAGATTAGAATTATTACAAACGCCTGTGCTTCTCCTCCAGCTCTATTACAACCTCCGAAATATTTTTTGAAAATATAAAAATATTAATAACTTGTTCTCCAAGACTGCAAAAGCTGGAAATAAAGTTACAATATCGCTTTCAGCAGCCTTTACCAATGATACAGAATACCTTCGAGCGCAAGTAGTTTACAGTCGGGCGCGTTGAGAGAAATGCAAAGTAACCGCATCGCGACCGCGATAATCATCAACATACCTGGAAAAATTTTAGTGGCCACTATAGTAGTCAAATTAGTGGTCAATTAAGGGGTAAAAATTATTCCCCAAGGGATTTGGATGCTTCCAGCTACAAATATGTTTCAACTGGTGAGTAAAAAAATGTTCAAGAGAGTCGATTCATTTAAGGTTTTGGGCAACATTTTCAAAAAGTCTATTCTCAAAAGAAAAGTCTAACTGCAAAAATGTTTAGTGGCCATTACAGGGTTTTGACGTTTTAGTGGCCACTATAGTAGTCAAATTAGTGGTCACTTAAGGGGTGAAAATTAGTGGCCACTATAGAGGTCTAAGTGCTACTACTAGACCCCTGAAAATTTAAGCGGCCACTTTAGGGGTCAATGGATCAACATAACTGGTCCAATCTGTTTGTTTTAAAATTATCAGAGTTACCGGAAGGAATACTGGATGGAAAACTACTGAAGTGGCCACTAAAAAGGAGAATAGTGGCCACTATAGAGGTGGGTTTAGTGGCCACTTTAGTGTCCTCTCCAAGTAGTCCTTGGCGAGCCTCTATAGTGGCCACTAAAATATTCCCGGTTTTTAAAAATGAAGAAATCAATTTCTTCTAAAGAAGCCTCTACCGTCGCCGAAAGCTCTATCGTCAAAACTCGGAGCTTCGTCCATTTTTCTCGGGCCAGTTAGCTCACCACTTGGTAGCAAGAAAAATGCGAAAAAACGAAGATTTGGCCTCAAACAACATAACATCTACAATTCTTCTATCCTGCATGTTTCCTTTTGCAATAAATATTCGTGTTCTTTGTACCCAGTCCACGTGTTCAGAATGATTTTTGGTAATTTCAAAGCCTTCTATACAACTTTGAATAAATATCTTGCAGCTTTCAAGCTTAATCGAATTTCTCTATACAATTCCAAACTGTACGATTCCCACACCAACGCCATTTCAATCAAATTAAGCCACCAAAACCTTTTCATGCTCTCCAAAACCTCTCAAAGCTTTTATTTTTAATCAAATCAACCCCCTAAAGAATGGACCTCGAAGCGTATAAATACCGAGCCGAAACCGTTTTCTCTATATTTCCCAATGAAGATCGTCTTTCTGCTTCTGCTCCTTATCGCCTTCGGAGTGCATGGATGGCGCTGTAGCACTCATGAAGGTAAGTCTTCGTTAAAAGTATTCAAGACGAAATTTCAAGCAACTTTCAAAGTCCTTGTTGTCCATAAGAATATGGAATAAAAAATTTGGGTTTTTATTTCAATGTACTTTATTTCAACTTCAAAATCAGTGTAGGTACAATTTCCAGTGAATGATTGGGCATGAATGACAAGACTAATATTTTTTGCTATGGTGGCCACTATAGTAGTCGAAATAGTGGTCACTTGAGTGGGTAAAATTTATTGGATCCTTTAGGAGCTTTATATGACCACTAAAACTAACAGTAAGGAGCTTTCTAGAGCCGTTTTTAGTGGCCACTTTAGTGTTTTCTCTAAGAAGTCTTTGAGGAACCTTTCAAGTGGCCACTAGAGTTTTTCCCAGTGGTTCGGTGGCTCAAGCCAATCGGGAAACTGCTATCTTAGGAATTCGAGAATGGTCCCTATAGGGGTTAGAGAGAAAAACGATTCCTTTAGGGACCGAAAAGTGGTCCCTCTAGGGGTTAAGGGTCTGATCTCTTAGCTCCAAAAGCTCAAATGGTCCCTACAGGGGTCTCTTAATTTCATTCAAAACGGCTTATTTATTCAGTTTTTCCCATGGAAATGCTTCTTCGCTCAGAATTCAAAACAGTTATCGACTAGCATGTGCCCTAAAAGGACCACTTGTGCAAGCTTTAGTGGCCCTTATAGGGACTGGTAAGCAGTCCCTGAAGGAGACCTTCCAAGGGCCTCTAAGGTTGCCCCTATAGGGACCACTCTGGAGTTCCTAAGTTAGTTTAAAATTCATGTGATTTTTGAAAGCATTCTCGAGAAAATAGGTTTAAAAACAAATTAAAAATCTCGAATTAAAAACTTGAAAAATATCAAAATCGAAGGTTACTCAATTTACCGCTCTTGTCTCACAGAAAATCGGTGAAAATAACCTCCAAAAATATTTTGATCAGAAAAATGAAATAACGAAAGTATTTTCAGTGAATAAAGAACTCAACCGTCCACATCGCTTCCCAATTAGTAAGTTCAAAAAAAAAAAAACCAATTTTGAGGGCTTTTCAAAAATCTAAAATAAAAGCCTTTTGCTCAAAATATTTTTTGGAATTTTTTTAAAACCAATTAGAGATCTAAATTCAAAAAGTTAATAAAGCACATTTTTTTGCGTTCTCTTTTTTTGTCGCGATATCGCTACTTCTCATCAATTTTGAACGTTTCGCTTTATTTTTGTTGGAATGTAAAAATTGAAGAAAAAAATTTCGGAAATTTTTCAATAAGCGATATCGCGCGAGAGTATTGCGATATCGCGTGAGGTCGAGCGATATCGCGCGAGATTTTTGCGATATCGTGTAAAAAAATTTCTCAATTTTTTTGAAAAAAATTGAAGATTAAAATGTATTTTTCAGAAGAAAATCCCCCGCGGCTTCCTCCGAAAAAAACAACATCCGATCAAGTTACTGTCAAAAAGATTACAGTTTAATAATCAAAAAAATTTTAAGGCCCTGTTCTGGAAGAACGGGAAGATATCGGAGATGAGCCAACCGAGAAAAGTCTTGATTGTGGGTTTTTTTTTGATTTTTAAAACGAAGCATACTGTAACTTTGACGCAGAGTAACATACATACACAGTTTTTCCTGACCTTTCAAAATTTTTCCTAGATCTTACCTTCGAAGCTTCTCAAGGGATCCCTAGGCAATCTGTCAAGACTAAATCAGTACATTTCTAAAATTTAAAGTAGTCTTTGAGCCTTCCAAAGGCATCAATAAGGAGAATTCCCATTACTCATGCTCCATAGGGTTTCAAGGAAATTTAAAGATGAAAAAATAACAAAAAAAGTCCCCTAAATTCCTAGAAATTCCGACAAAAGTTTGAATTTCAGTGACTCCGATGCAAGAAGGAAAAAATGTTTACACCTTAGGCGAGCTTGGTATGTTTTTCCTGTTCTTCAAATACTCATTAGATTTCAAAATACTTGAAAATTCCCCTATAAACATTTCTCTGATTTTTTTCATTTCAGACACAGATAGTTAGGAAATCTTTTTTGGGCTCCTAAAAAATTTCCAAACATTTCATATCAAAAGGAATTTTCAGATCCAGAATTGGTCAGGATTTTGCGATATTGGAAAGGTCAAGCCACCGAGAAGAGTTTCGGTGAGTTTTCTATTTAGAAAACGAATAAAAAAAGAAAAATGCTAGAAAATAATCAAAAAATAACTGATCACACCGGTGTTTTCAGGCATTTTTCTTAAAAAAAAAAATTCGGAAAAGTTGAGAACTGGACGGATCTTCTTAGTCGATTCTAGTACTGTTCTAATCATCTCGAAATTCTGGATCAAATAGTTTTTTTTCCACACGTTTAGACAAGAATAGAAGCTGATTAGGAGCATTATTACGATTTTAAAATCTGATGAAATTCTTCAATACCCACACGTTCAGTTTTCCCTAAAAGATTTATCAGAAATCAAGATAATCCCCTGGAAAATGAACAACTGTTCCAGCTCCATTCTGAAGCTCAAAATTCCTTTTTCCTAGCTTTCTAAAGGCATAGTTATAAAATAATATACCTTTTTTCAAGCCCTAGAAGTGTGGGACGAATTTAAAAATTAAAAAACCCGTCCTAAGCTTTGAAAAGACCTAGAAAAAAAAAAATCTAAAGACGAATAAAACATCTAAAAAGTATAGAGCTTCTCCAGCTTCATCCTGAAGCTCGAAAATCCTTTTTCTTTTTTTAAAAACATCAGAGTTATAAAATAAAACTTTTACATGCTTCCGAAGCAAGTCACATAAACGTCAAAGTCAAAAAAACAGATTCCAAGCTCTGGAAGGTCTAAAAAAGTCTGAAGACGATTAAACCATCTAAAAGGTATAGAACTTCTCCAGCTTCATCTTGAAGTTCAAAACTCCTTTTTTCAAGCCCTAGAAGCAGTCAAAAATATTCAAAAATCAAAAAAACGTGTCCTAAACTCTGAAAAGGTCTGGAAAAAGTCTGGATACCAATAAATCCTCTTAAAAGTGTAGAACTGCTCCAGCTCCATCCTGAAGACCAGAACTCCTTTTTCCCAACCTGAAGCTCAAAGTCACTTCCTTCGAACCTTTCGAAAAGATTTTTAAAAAAAAAAGGAAAATCTACACCTTTCAAGCTCCAGAAGCAAATAATACAAAAGCAAAAATCAGAAAACGTATCTTAAGCCCTTAACGAGAAGACTTTAAGGTCATCAAGTGATCTGGCAAGTATAAAACTGACTCCAGCCTCATCCTGAAGCTCAAAATTCCTTTTTTCATGCTCCAGAAGCAGTCACGAAAATTAAAAAGTCTGAAAAACGTGTCCTAAACTCTGAAAAGGTCTGGATAAAGTCCGATGAAGCATCTGAGTAGTATAAAACTGCACCAGCTCCATCTTGAAGCTCAAAATTTCTTTTTCCTAGCTTTTCAAAAGCAATAAAGTTATAAAATATACCTTTTTTCAAGCCCTAGAAGCAGTCACAAAAATTCAAAATTCAAAAAAACGTGTCCTGAACTCTGAAAAGGTCTAGAAAAAATCTGAAGACGGATAAAACATCTAAAAAGTAAAAAACTGCTCCAGCTCCATCCTAAAGCTCAAAATTCCTTTTTCCCACCCTGAAGCTCAAAGTTACTTCCTCCTAACCTTCCAAAAGATTTTTAAAAAGGAAAATCTACACCTTTCAAGCTCCAGAAGCAAATAATACAAAAGCAAAAATCAGAAAACGTATCTTAAGCCCTTAAAAAGAAGACTTAAAAATTATTAAGTGATCTGACAAGTATAAAACTGCTCCAGCTTCATCTGGAAGCTCAAAATTCCTTTTTCAAGCTCCAGAAACACTTACAAAAATTGAAAATTCAAAAAAACGTGTCCTAAACTATGAAAAGGTCTGGAAAAAGTCATCTGAGTAGTAGAGAACTGCTCCAGCTCCATCCTGAAGCTCGAAATTCCTTTTTTAGCCTTCAAAAAGCCTCAAAGTTATAAAATATACTTTTTTCATGCTTCACAAGTAGGCCACATTAATTTAAAAGTCAAAAAAACATATTTTTAAGTTTCAAAGATGTCTGAAAACTTCTGACGATCAATAGAACTGCTCCAGCTCCATACTAAAGCTCAGAATTCCATTTTCCCAGCCTTTTTCATAAAATATACTCTTCCCAAGCTCCAGAAGCAACTCACAACAGCCAAAAAGCCCAAAAATCCTCTCCACAAAAAAAAATCCCAAAAATTGCAGACGACTACGACTACGAAGACCTGGTCGCCAAGGGAGTCTTTTGTGAGTCCATTTTTCAATATTCCAATAAAATCTATTCTTCAGCGGACCTCAAGGAGCGGCTCCGAACGACTTGGCAGCACGTTAAGCAGGACCTTTTCGGGAAACGCCCACCTGCTCAGCAACTACCGTCGTGGCCAGAACAACAACAGTACCAGGATTTCCAACAATATCCTCCCCCTCAGGCTCAACAGTGGTGATGCCTGTTTCGAATTATTTTTGGGATGAATAAAGTTTAAAATTGTCGAATTTTTTTGGAAAATACATCATGGAAAGATTACAAAGTGACGTCAAGGGAAATGAAGCTTGGAGTTTTATTTTTCACAAGTTTCAAGGCAATCTACAAGTGAAAAATAGTTGGAAAAGTGCTAAAAAATCAAAAAAAAAAGTGTGAAAAGAGCAGGGAAACGCTAGAAAAAGCCCTCTATTCCACTCAGAGAATATTTTTGAAAGACCGAAGGCAATCGACAGGTTTTATTTCTACAAAACCAAGTTGTGAAGGGCAGATAAAAAAGCCCAGTTCATTTCGCCAATCGTTCAAACCTACGATTTCAGAGCTTTCTACGATTTTCTAGGGTACCTACGAAATGAGAGAATATGTATGAAAGTTGAAAACATCTAGTAAAATCGGATGAAAAAAATGTTAAAAAGTCCCCTAAACACAAGTGTTAAAAAGCAGGAAAAGGCTACAGCGATGCAAAAAATAAATCAAAAAAGTTCAGGATTGTTCAATTTTGTTGGATTCAATATCTATATATATATACAGACATAGGCGAATCGAGAAGGTATCATAATGTTTCTACCAAGGTACCTCTCAAAATGAATCGTGAAGGCCCCATAATGTGTGGATCGTGAGGCCTCCGGCATACCTTTTAGCTATATCTGAGCCATCTCGAAGGTACATGAGAGTCTCTCTCAAGTCCATCTAATTTTCTCAAAGTCCTCACTAGGGTATGGTCTCCCCTGAACATCGAGTTGAGAATTGAGACTGTGTGGGTTTGATAGTCCTAGGTAAAAGTTCTCGGAATCGAAAATAAAATTCTGCTAAACCCCTAAGGCTACCGAGGAAAAGCTCGTCGAAATTTTCCCAGCGCGTATATGCCCGCGCTCGGAGCCCTCGGCTAGCAACTGGCGGCGTGGTGTAGTGGGTTGTGGTCTTGTGCACTGTCAATATTGTGACCAGGGTTCGAATCCTTTTGGCGGATAATATTTTTGCTGACTTATAAATTCATCATTTTCATATTTTTAGGAAATTTTTCAAATGATTACACTAAAAATTTATGAAAATGACAATAAGAAAATATAATTATTACTAAAACTTTTTCTACTTTTTCTGTAAAATTGCTGATGGTTACAATCTAATCGAAAAAAAGTTCGAAATTCAAAACTCAGGAGGTAAATTGTTTTTTCTGCAAACTTAAAAATATGAGGGAATTTTTGTTCAGGTGGTTGTCATTAGCCTTGTACACCCAAAAAAAAATTTTTTTAGGAATGAGTTTTGGCAATAATTATATTTTTTTATTGTCATTTTTATAAACTTTTAGTGTAATTATTTGAAAAATTTCCTGAAAATATGAAAATGATGAAGTTATAAGTCGGCAAAAATGATATCCGCCAAAAGGATTTGAACCCTGGTCACAATATTGATAGTGCACAAGAGCAGAACCCACTACACCACGCCGCCAGTTGCTAGCCGAAGGCTCCGAGCGCGGTGATATACGCGCTGGGAAAATTTCGACGAGCTTTTCCTCGGTTGCTAGGAGGGTTTAGCAGAATTTTATTTTCGATTCCGAGAGCTCTTACCCAGGTCTATCACACCCACATAATCTCAATTCTCAAGTCGATGTTCAGGGAAGACCATACCATTGTCAGAGGTATAATCGAGGTACCATCGTGAGACTTCAGAGCCTGCGATATACCTCACAGGGTCTCGCGATACCCTTTCTCGATTCGCCTATGGAAGCTTTCAAAGCGAACCCATACAGATGACATTTGAGAATTGGAAAAACCGACAAGTCCAGACGATAAAGGTTAGGTTCGAATAAAACAACTTTGAACCAGAAGCCAGATTAAAATCGACCAACTCATTTGAAGTTATTGCCCAACAAGCCGAGAAGCCTAACCAAAATGCGATGGATGATTCTCTCAATTTTTAGCTTTTGACAACTTTTTTCTTCATTTCTAAGTCTGCGCATAATTTTTTCCAAGGAAACTCACCAATATTTCCCTTGCAGCTTGGCACGGATGGAACCTGAAAATTGTGTTTCTTTATTCTTCAACTCATCCTCCGAAATTTTCTTTATTTTTCAATTTTGAACTAACGTTGAACTGTTGAGTTTTTTAAGGTTACCACTAAACATTCAAGTTTTTTTCCAAGCCGGCGCGAACTTTTTGATTAAAAAACGTTTCCTGTTTTGTCTTCACCCAGTCACACAGGTTGATTTTGGAAATCGGCGGAAAGTTTTCGAGAAAAAGTTGAGTTTTTTGTACTCAGTCCAAGCGTTCAGAATGATTATTTGAAAGTTTCAAAATCTTCTATACGAGTTTTGAATAAACATCTTGCAGCTTTCAATCCTAATCGAATTTCTCTATACAATTCCAAACTGTACCATTCCCACACCAACGCCATTTCAATCAAATTAAGCCACCAAAACCTTTTCATGCTCTCCAAAACCACTAAAACCTTTTATTTTTAATCAAATCATCCCCCCGAAGAATGGACCTCGAAGCGTATAAATACCGAGCCGAAACCGTTCATTCTCACATTTTCCAATGAAGATCGTCTTTCTGCTTCTGCTCCTCATCGCCTTGGGGGCCAACGCTTTGCGAACCGGTGACGGTGGTTGCCTGAAAGGTGAGTTCGTTCTTCAACTATAAATCTCCAATTTCTCATACCCAGTAGTTAAAGCGACGCTAAGTTCACCATAGTTAGCTCATTCTATTGGTTGAAATATATCCGAGACCATTCTTGTAGGAATTCCTGTCTTTTTCTGAATCGCTATGGTCGAAAATAATAGAAAAATATTATCATGATATTATTTTCAGGCCGCAGAAATACATTAAGACCTAGGACTATTCGCGTCCGACCTGGGGCCGTCAAATTAACCACGGGTGAGTTTTCTCAACAAGAAAGAGGTCAAAAAAGAATCATTTTTGATTTGAAATCGAAAAAATTTAATTTTTCGGTAGGAAACATTTCAAAAGATTGCAGTAGTTTCCTACAAAAAAGTTAATTTAACTCTGGAATTTTCTGGAAACTGACCAGAACACTTTGATGTACCTAACACGGATAGAAAGTCTCGAAAAAAGATTTCAAAATGCCTTTTAGCCGGTCCCTGAAGGTTTTTTTGATTTTGAAGGTTCTATTTCAAAATTCAGGTATCTCTGAGACCTTCAGCTTCATTCTCTCGAAAATTGGGACTCTTTTTGGAAATGTAGATTTTTGAAAAATTTAGGAGAATCCCATTCAAAGAAGAAAAGTTTCTCACAAAAAAAAAATTCCTTTTACTCCCGAATTTTCTGAAAACTGCTTAGATCACTGTTTGGTGGACCTAATAAGGACAGTAAAATTCTTAAAAACCTCTTCAAAATTGAAGAAAACGTTCAAAGACCGAGTGAATATGACTTTCAGCTTTATTTCCTTAGGAATCAGGATTTTTCTCAGGTTGAATTTTTTCGAATGAGGATAGAAAGTCTCAGAAAAAGGTCTCAGAAAGCCTATCTAGCCAGTCTTTGAAGCTTTCCATTGATTTTGAAGGGTCTATTTCGAAATCTAGGTATTTCTGAGACTTTCAGCTTTATTCTTCTAAAAATTAAGACTCTTAGAATCCTCCTTTCTGAGAAAAAAACCAGGGTTAAAATTTTTAAAAACAAACTCTCCTTTTCAAAAAGACCATTGATAGAACTTTAAAAAAATCAAAACTCATCAAATAAAATCTAATAAATCTTACAGTAAAGCCCTCGGTGGAGAAACCGGCTGAGAAACCGACGGAGAAACCAAAAGCTCAGTAATTCGAAATTCGACTGTTATCGGATCTAGTAAAAGAATCCATTTCGCTACTGAATAAATCATAAAGCTTCAACTTTGAATTTCGTGTTGCAATGAAGATTATTTCACAAGAGATGAGCACAGCTATTCTATCAAATTGCCAAAGAAAAGACATCAAAACGGATATCGATTGAACTTTGACTCAGGGAAATCCTGGGAAGGCGAAATGGAAGCTAGAAAGTCTAGATAAGGCCTTGGGAAAGTATTCAGAAGGTATTTAGAAGGTGAAAACAAAAAATGCCTGCTGGAAAGCTTCTGGAAGGCTTCCGACAGGGTTTCTTTTTAAGTAAAAGATTTTGGGAAGACATGTGGAAGGCGTTCGACCACTTGCTGGAAAGCTTCCAAACGCCTTCCCAGGAATCGAAAGCAGAAGCTTCCCAACTTTCACCCGAGTAAACTCCCAGCAGTTATCGGGAAAGACGTTATTTCCGAATAAGTTTCGAACGAGGTTTTTAACGACGACTTCTGAACTTCGATTGTACAATGAAAGGGTTCCGAAGTTTAGTTTATACGCAAATATTACAGCTTTTAGGCACATAAACTTTTAGTTTGGTTTTCATAGCAATAAGCTCAAAATCGAGCGTCGTTTTTCTGAAAATTATAACTTTTTCTTGAATCAGCAGGGGCAAAATGCATCCTCCGAGGTTTTCCAAAAACCATTCGTGCCAAAAAACTTCTATATTTCTGACAGCTCTCCCTTATCATAGGTAGAGAGCAACCATCCAAATATTTCGGACTAGGTTTCATTGACCCCCATCTAGGCTTACTGTAGAAAAAACCCGGTAAAAACCAAATTTGAAAATCGGTCCAAACCAACTTTCATACAGGAATCATTCCTATATGAACTTTTTTTTTTGATTTTGAAATGGTGCAGATTTTTCCTATTAGAACATATGTACTTATTTTGCTCCACTTGGAAAATCGTTTTAACGGTCCCTTTCCTACGGTAGGCTTAAAAATGGGCGGAGCTTGATAAGACCCGGTTCTGAGTATTCAGGAAGTTGTTCATCTACTTTAAATAGTAAAACTTGCAGGAGCAAAGCTGAAATTTTTGTACTACCAATTATTTTTTGAAATATCGGAGAGCGTTAGGCTTCGTCAACAAACGAAAAAGTGTTAATTTCTCACACCCCCCTTCAACACCTTGTCTCAATTACCAAACGTTTCGCTGACACCTTTTCTCGAGTTAATTATCCCAACTGACCCCTGAGAAGCCTTCCCAAAAGCGCGGCTTCGCACTTTTCGCGGCCCTCTGGGGCGTGGCGGAGCCTACCGATTAGTATAAATAGGTACCATCAGATGGTGGAGCTACCCGACTTAATCCAACCTTTTGGAACGTCTCTTCGCTCAAGCCCACGCCATCAAGATGAACATCGACATCGCCGCCATCGTCGCCGGGATCGTCGAGAAGGCCCGCCTGCACGAAAAATGGATCGCACGTCTTCGCATTCTGAAGACGTGCGGCGACCGTGTTCAAGCCGACTTCGACAAACTGGTCTTTTACGTGAGTTTTGGACGGAATTTCCAGAATGAAAGCTGCTTTTCAGTTCGACCTAACGCACAAGATGAGAGGAATTCACAACTTCACAAGCACAGATGCTCGATGGATGATTGTGAGTTTTCCTTTTTCATAGACGATTCACGGCTGGCTTGGGACGCAAAAAGGCGTGGCCTGTCTGCACTCTCCACTAACCAGGGCACTGTCTCGTCTCTTTTCGTGGCAGGACCCTTTTCTCGATGGCTCAAGCCAGCCGTGAATCAACTATAATTCCTATTTTGTCAACCCAAGATTCCTAAACCCTTTAATAACACTTCGAAGACCTTTCGAGCTCCTAAAAGCCTCTAAAACAGCTTCAACTTGAGCATCCCCTAAAATTTTCCAGAAACTTTCAAACACTAGTTCAAGAAGACTACTTGAAGACGTCCGAACCTTTTCCAGAAACTCGCTCAGAAGATCATCACGACGCTGGACGACGACCTGGCGGTTTTGGAGAAGGAAATCGTCGACATGGACCTTCTCCACCGACGGACCGGCCAGAAACTTGTCAGAGAGGTCCTGAAAAAGGCCCATAAAGTTCGTTATGAGTGCCTTCGCCTCTCTGAAGCTTTGTCGCATTTTCAGCACAACTGCGTGAGTTTTTTCTTTCACTTGGTTGTTCGTTCTTTTTATAGGCAAAGTCGGAAAGGTTGGAAAAAGGCTCTAGAAATGTTCCTTTTTTGCTGCCTTTTCGCGCCATTTTCTCGGCCGTTATGCACCATTTTTGCTGCCTTTTCACCATTTCTCGAGCCTTTAAAATCTTAGAAAAATGGAAGGCTCGATAAAAGGGACTCTTTTTGCTGCCTTTCTGCAGCCTTTTCGTTGCCTTTTTACTGCCATTTTGCTGCCTTTTTGCCACTATCAACCATTCCGACTTTGCCCGAGTCGGCACTCGAATTTCAACGTTTTTTTCAATATAGAAGATCTGGGGTTTAGAACTTTCGAATCAAAAACTCTCTCATTTTCATATCTTTGATTATGATTCAATCCACTTTTGAACATCAAATCGAGCTTCCGAAAGGATCCAAAATTATTGACTCCAATTCAATTTTTTTTCCAGAAATTCGACATGATTTACGCATTGATGATGAAGGAGCTCAACTACAACGTCGGATGTCTCAAGTTCGCTGTCTCTGATGTCCCGGATTTCGAAAAAATTCGTCGTGAAATCAGGTTCTAAGTCATTTCTATATAATATTATTCTATTTGTTTTCCTCCATCGTTTATTTGAAATCTTCTCTTTTGATTGTACCTCCTTCAGCTTATTTGACCACTTTTAAAATCAACAGGTATTCTGATCATAACTGTTACGCATTTTATTACCGGTAAGTCATCCCCGTATTTTTCTAGGTTCATTAATATTTTTGATAATTCACTTGGAGTTATAAAAATCTGATTTTTTAATACTCTGTCCAGATTTGAAAAATTTTTCATTTAATCAGTTTTTGACTTATTTTTTTATACGATTATAATATTTAATTTTAATATCCTTGAAGAACTATTTAATAAACCTTCAAGTTATTTCCTTCTTCCCGTGGACACTTATCTTCCAGCCGATTTTAGTTCAATCTTTAATTTTTGTACCTCACTATTTTTACTGGCCACAGAAGCTCGTGACTACTCATTTATCACAGGTTTGTACGCTCATTGTTCTCTTTTGAATCTGTCTTGGATTTCTTTGTCCTTGCGTTTCAAATAATTATCTTATTATTTAATGTTTGACTATTTAAGGTACTTTTTTAATGATAATATAATTTATTTACAGGCTTTAATTATTTTTATGACGGCTCCCCCCTTTATTCCAGTATTTGATTGTATTTTTTTCTAATTACATTGTTAATATTATGAATTATTTGAAATATTAATAAACTTATTTTTTTTTAATTGTAAAACAAAAAAACAAAAAAAGTAAAAAAACCACGGGATTGGTTTCTTCCGACAGGGGCCTTGGGAAGGTTGAATTTTTGAAAAAAATCAAGCTCAATTTATCCTTACTAGGGAACGTTTTTTTACCCACCCCCCCTCCCCCTTTCGCCGTCCCAGTTTAACTATTGCTGAAACTTTGCTGAAGTGTACTTTAGGACCCCCTGTTTCCAGAACAGAAAGAAAACTTCTCGCAATAAATCTCGTTTTCGAGTTAGGACACTTCAAAAGGCTGTGATAGCGGTTTTTGTCATAACTTGCGCATTTTGCACACTTTGAAGCTCCATAATTTGGAAACAAGATCTATTGCGAAAAATTTTTCACTTGATCTGCAATTAGGGGGTTCTAAAGTACACTTCAGCAAAGTTTCAGCAAAAGGTTCAACCGGCGGGGGGTTTTTGAAATGGTGCAGAAAAAAACGTTCCCTGGTTAGCAAACTGCAGCCTTCAACCAGATTTTCGAGAGAGAAACGAGAAAATTGAGAGCAAAATCATCTGATCGGCCTACGAAGACACGTATAAAAAAATGATAAGAGTTATAGTCAATCCTTCCCGACTTGAAAGGCGAGAAAGGCGGGACGCGTAGCGTGTGCGTACGCGGTTCTTGGCACGAGTTCAGTTCAACCGCCAGCGACTATTTGGAGAGCTCGTTCATTGCTCATTTCATTATTTTTTTAATTATTTGTTGTGCGCTAAAAATAGTAGAATGGATACAAAAAAAGCAGTGACCGAGCTTTTTGAATAGTCAGTGACGCTTGAATTGAACTCGTGCCAAAAACCGCGTACGCACACGCTACGCGTCCCGCCTCCCTCGCCTTTCAAGACGGTATGTACTCGGGCAAAGACGGAATGGTGGATAATGGCCGCTAAAAGGGCGAGGCTCAAAAAAGGCTGCAAAAAAGGTTGCAAAAAGATCGAAGAACGGCTGCCAAAGGGCTTCAAAAAAGCCGCAAAAAGGCAACAAAAAGGCTGCAAAAAAGGTAGGAAAAAAGGCCCCTTTATGGAGCCTTCCGTTTTTCTGGGATTTTAAAGGCTCGAGAAATGGTGGAGAAAGGGAGAGGCAGCAAAAATGGTGCAATACAGCCCATGAAATGGTCCAAAAGGGCAGCAAAAAAGGAGCCTTCATCACCCTAAAAGGAACATTTCTATGGTCCTTTATGGACCCTCGGAGGGTCCTTCCGATTTTGCCTATGTAATCACTAAATCGCTGAATTTATTTCGGCAGTATAAAAGCTAATCAAAAAGCATTTTTTTTCTCAAACAATCATTCAAAAATACTAATAATCTTTGTACCCAGTCGAGGCGTCCAGAATGATTTTTGAAAATTTCAAAACCTTCTATACGACTTTGAATAAACATCTTGCAGCTTTCCATCCTAATCGAATTTCTCTATACAATTCCAAACTGTACGATTCCCACACCAACGCCATCTCAATCAAATTAAGCCACCAAAACCTTTTCAAGCTCTCCAAAACCTCTCAAACCTTTTATTTTTAATCAAATTATCCCCCCAAACAATGGACCTCGAAGCGTATAAATACCGAGCCGAAACCGTTCATTCTCACATTTCCCAATGAAGATCGTCTTTCTGCTTCTGCTCCTCATCGCCTTGGGAGTGCATGGTGGAGGGATCACGGGACCTGGTGGATGTACCGACCGTAAGTATTTATATTCCTATATTTCTCATTTTTAATTTTTCCAACGAGTAACTCTGGGGTTTTTTTCCTTGAAGCGTTTCCCCCTCCTCGGTTGAATTTTTTTCCTAGTGAGTGAAAAAGTTTTTAAACTTCAGCAATACCGTTGTTTCAACTGCCTGGCTTCGACTTCCCCAAAATCTTCCAGAAAAGTTTCGGTGAGTTTTAATTTAGAAAAAGTCCAAATAAGGCCTATAAGGCAAAATTTTTTGTGAAGTTCATTTTTCTTGAAAACCACAAGCCACACAAAATTCGAAAAATCCAGCTTCTGACATGAAATTTTACCCAAAAAAGTTTTTATCAGCAAAAAATGAAAAAGTTCAAATTTCAGCCGGCGACGCTAACGAAGGCCAGAACGACCCGAACTTCTATGGTAAAAATCATTTTTCGACTTTTTTTCGACTTAAAAAAATTAGTTTCTAATCTCAATTTTCTTTCAAAAAAACATAGAAAAAAATCTATTTTTTTCGAAATTCCAGGCGGCACCAACGAAGCCCCGGTCCCAGGAAGCTTCTTTGGTTAGGAAATCTTGCAATTTCCAAGACAAAAAAATTATTTTCAGACGTTCTGAACAAGTTCAATAAGCTATTTGGACCCGTTCCCGGAGCTGAAGGATTTGCCGAATAATCAAAAAAATGATTTTTTTTTATTGAACTGAATAAATAATTCTTTGGAACCCGTTTCAAGCATAAAAAGCCAAATTTGGGGGTCTTGATTTAATCTTTTTTTTTATCGGAAATTTGACGCCTGGCCACAAAAACTCCATTCAAAAGCTCAAAAAAAGCTTCGAAATTTAAAGAAACCAGAAAAAAATGACTGGATTTTCTACTTTTCAAGGGAAACCACAGTCTCAGTAATTCGAAATTCGACTGATATCGGATCGACCGAAGCAATCCATTTCGCTACTGAATAAATCATAAAGCTTCAACTTCGAACTTCGTGTTGCATTGAAGATTATTTCACAAGAGATGAGCACAGCTATTCTATCAAATTGCCAAAGAAAAGACATCAAAACGGATATCGATTGAACTTTGACTCAGGGAAATCCTGGGAAGGCGAAATGGAAGCTAGAAAGTCTAGATAAGGCCTTGGGAAAGTATTCAGAAGGTATTTAGAAGGTGAAAACAAAAAATGCCTGCTGGAAAGCTTCTGGAAGGCTTCCGACAGGGTTTCTTTTTAAGTAAAAGATTTTGGGAAGACATGTGGAAGGCGTTCGACCACTTGCTGGAAAGCTTCCAAACGCCTTCCCAGGAATCGAAAGCAGAAGCTTCCCAACTTTCACCCGAGTAAACTCCCAGCAGTTATCGGGAAAGACGTTATTTCCGAATAAGTTTCGAACGAGGTTTTTAACGACGACTTCTGAACTTCGATTGTACAATGAAAGGGTTCCGAAGTTTAGTTTATACGCAAATATTACAGCTTTTAGGCACATAAACTTTTAGTTTGGTTTTCATAGCAATAAGCTCAAAATCGAGCGTCGTTTTTCTGAAAATTATAACTTTTTCTTGAATCAGCAGGGGCAAAATGCATCCTCCGAGGTTTTCCAAAAACCATTCGTGCCAAAAAACTTCTATATTTCTGACAGCTCTCCCTTATCATAGGTAGAGAGCAACCTTCCAAAAATTTCGAACCAGGTTTCACTGACCCCCAGCTAGGCTTACTGTAGAAAAAACCCGGTAAAAACCAAATTTGAAAATAGGTCCAAACCAACTTTCATACAGGAATCATTCCTATATGAACTTTTTTTTTTGATTTTGAAATGGTGCAGATTTTTCCTATTAGAACATATGTACTTATTTTGCTCCACTTGGAAAATCGTTTTAACGGTCCCTTTCCTACGGTAGGCTTAAAAATGGGCGGAGCTTGATAAGACCCGGTTCTGAGTATTCAGGAAGTTGTTCATCTACTTTAAATAGTAAAAACTTGCAGGAGCAAAAAGCTGAAATTTTTTTGTACTACCAATTATTTTTTTGAAATATCGGAGAGCGTTAGGCTTCGTCAACAAACGAAAAAAAGTGTTAATTTCTCACACCCCCCTTCAACACCTTGTCTCAATTACCAAACGTTTCGCTGACACCTTTTCTCGAGTTAATTATCCCAACTGACCCCTGAGAAGCCTTCCCAAAAAGCGCGACTTCGCACTTTCCGCGACCCTCTGGGGCGTGGCGGAGCCTACCGATTAGTATAAATAGGTACCATCAGATGGTGGAGCTACCCGACTTAATCCAACCTTTTGGAACGTCTCTTCGCTCAAGCCCACGCCATCAAGATGAACATCGACATCGCCGCCATCGTCGCCGGGATCGTCGAGAAGGCCCGTCTCCACGAAAAATGGATCGCACGTCTTCGCATTCTGAAGACGTGCGGCGACCGTGTTCAAGCCGACTTCGACAAATTGGTCTTTTACGTGAGTTTTGAACGAATATTTCCAGAATAAAAGTTGCTTTTCAGTTCGACCTGACGCACAAGATGAGAGGAATTCCCAACTTCACAAGCACAGATGCTCGATGGATGATCGTGAGTTTTCCTTTTTCATAGACGATTCACGGCTAGCTTGGGACGCAAAAAGGCGTGGCCTGTTTGCACTCTCCACTAACCAGGGCACTGTCTCGTCTCTTTTCGTGGCAGGACCCTTTTCTCGATGGCTCAAGCCAGCCGTGAATCAACTATAATTCCTATTTTGTCAACCCAAGATTCCTAAACCCTTTAATAACACTTCGAAGACCTTTCGAGCTCCTAAAAGCCTCTAAAACAGCTTCAACTTGAGCATCCCCTAAAATTTTCCAGAAACTTTCAAACACTAGTTCAAGAAGACTACTTGAAGACGTCCGAACCTTTTCCAGAAACTCGCTCAGAAGATCATCACGACGCTGGACGACGACCTGGCGGTTTTGGAGAAGGAAATCGTCGACATGGACCTTCTCCACCGACGGACCGGCCAGAAACTTGTCAGAGAGGTCCTGAAAAAGGCCCATAAAGTTCGTTATGAGTGCCTTCGCCTCTCTGAAGCTTTGTCGCATTTTCAGCACAACTGCGTGAGTTTTTTTTTTCTTTCACTTGGTTGTCCGATTATGAGGCTGTATCTCTATAAGATAAGTCGGAAAAGTTGGAAAAAGGCTCTAGAAATTCCTTTTTTGCTGCCTTTTCGCGCCATTTTCTCGGCCGTTATGCACCATTTTTGCTGCCTTTTCACCATTTCTCGAGCCTTTAAAATCTTAGAAAAATGGAAGGCTCGATAAAAGGGACTCTTTTTGCTGCCTTTCTGCAGCCTTTTCGTTGCCTTTTTACTGCCTTTTTGCTGCCTTTTTGCCACTATCCACCATTCCGGCTTTGCCTGAGTCGACACCCGAATCTCAACGTTCTTCTCATTTTATGACGGCTCCCCTATGTATTCCAGTATTTGATTGTATTTTTTCTAATTACATTGTTAATATTATGAAATATTTGAAATATTAATAAACTTATAAATTGTTAAACAAAAACAGTAAAAACCACGAGATTGGTTTCTCCCGACAGGGCCTTCGGAAGGTTGAATTTTTGAAAAAAATCAAGCTCAATTTATCCTTACTAGGGAACGTTTTTACCCACCCTCCCCTCCCCCTTTTCGCCGTCCAGTTTAACTTTTTGCTGAAACTTTGCTGAAGTGTACTTTAGGACCCCCTGTTTCCAGAACAGAAAGAAAACTTCTCGCAATAAATCTGTTGTCGAGTTAGGACACTTCAAAAAGGCTGTGATAGCGGTTTTTGTCATAACTTGCGCATTTTGCACATTTTGAAGCTCCATAATTTGGAAACAAGATCTATTGCGAGAAAATCTTGATCTGCAATCAGGGGTCCTAAAAGTACACTTCAACAAAGTTTCAGCAAAAAGTTCAACCAGAGGGGTAAAAACGTTTTTCTGGTTAGCAGCCTTCAACCAGATTTTCGAGAGAGAAACGAGAAAATTGAGAGCAAAATCATCTGATCGGCCTACGAAGACACGTATAAAAATGATAAGAGTTATAGTCAATCCTTCCCGACTTGAAAGGCGAGAAAGGCGGGACGCGTAGCGTGTGCGTACGCGGTTCTTGGCACGAGTTCAGTTCAACCGCCAGCGACTATTTGGAGAGCTCGTTCATTGCTCTTCTCATTATTTTTTAATTATTTGTTGTGCGCATTAAAAATAGTAGAATGGATACAAAAAGAGCAGTGACCGAGCTTTTTGAATAGTCAGTGACGCTTGAATTGAACTCGTGCCAAGAACCGCGTACGCACACGCTACGCGTCCCTTCCTTTTTCCGCCTCTCTCACCTTTCTAGTCGGTTTTGGATGGACTATAGTCTGTGTTCCACGACTTGGAATTTCACCGAACGACATTCCGCTTTTCCGCTGCGTGTCTTTGCGCGCTTTCAATTTTTTATTTCATTTAAGAACTCGACCAACACGTGTTCCTAGTGGAACAGTCTATCTATCTATCATAAATGAGAACCAGTTTAAAAAGGGAGACCGAGGCCCGTAAAGACGCTTCGCGACGCAGCGGAACAGCGGAATGTCGTTCGGTGAAATTTCAAGTCGTGGCACACAGACTATAAATCGCTAAATTTATTTCGGAACGTTCCTTATTGATGATTCTGGCAGCATAAAAGCTGATCAGAAATCTTTTTTTCTCAAATAAAAAAATTTAAAAAAATACTAAAAAAATCTTTGTACCCAGTCCAAGTGTTCAGAATGATTTTTTTGAAAGTTTCTATACGAGTTTGAATAAACATCTTGCAGCTTTCAATCCTAATCGAATTTCTCTATACAATTCCAAACTGTACGATTCCCACACCAACGCCATTTCAATCAAATTAAGCCACCAAAACCTTTTCATGCTCTCCAAAACCTCTCAAAGCTTTTATTTTTAATCAAATCAACCCCCTAAAGAATGGACCTCGAAGCGTATAAATACCGAGCCGAAACCGTTTTTGCTCACATTTCCCAATGAAGATCGTCTTTCTGCTTCTGCTCCTCATCGCCTTGGGAGTGCATGGTGGAGGGATCACGGGACCTGGTGGATGTACCGACCGTAAGTATTTATATTCCTATATTTCTCATTTTAATTTTCCAACGAGTAACTCTGGGGTTTTTCCTTGAAGCGTTTCCCCTCCTCGGTTGAATTTTTTTCCTAGTGAGTGAAAAAGTTTTTAAACTTCAGCAATACCGTTGTTTCAACTGCCTGGCTTCGGCTTCCCCAAAATCTTCCAGAAAAGTTTCGGTGAGTTTTTAATTTAGAAAAAAAGTCCAAATAAGGCCTATAAGGCTAAATTTTTTTGTGAAAAAATTATTTTTCAGACGTTCTGAACGGGTTCAATAAGCTATTTGGACCCGTTCCCGGAGCCGGAGGATTTGCCGAATAATCAAAAAAATTGATTTTTTATTGAACTGAATAAATAATTCTTTGGAACCCGTTTCAAGCATAAAAGCCAAATTTTGGGATCTTGATTTAATCTTGACGCCTGGACACAAAAACTCCATTCAAAAGCTCAAAAAAAGCTTCGAAATTTAATGAAACCAAAAAAAAATGACTGGATTTTCTACTTTTCAAGGTTATGGATGGAAAGGAATATTCATTCTGGAGTCAGCTTGAGAAAAAAATTAAAAAAATCAGTATAAAAAAACTGGCTCCGATGAAACTATTCTTATTAAAAGTCCAATTATAAAACTTAGTCAAAGTTCCAAAAAAACTTCTGAATCCCTTTTCAAAAAAATGACTTCTGGAAATAGGAAAAAGCTGAGATTTTTCGGAAAATTACTCAAGTTATAACCTGTCTTTTTTTAACTTAACCAACAAAATGTTTTCTTTTTTTCGAAGTATTCTTGAATTATTAAAGTCCCTGATGTCATGAAATTCATTTCAAAACACAAATAAATAGATAAAAAGCAACTTTGCTTCAACTATAAAATCAAGTTGTTTATCGAATTCATCTCAAAAATTGGTCAAAAATATGAAAATACGACACGAACTAATTTCCCTTTTTTCCGAAGATTACTGTATGTTGAAGTCCGCAGTCCGAGTTTTTCCCTTCGCGTGTTTGCACTTTTTATTACGTCACGTTGAGTGGTGATTTCACGGCGTTTTTGTTAGTGGAAGAAAATGCAAAACCACAAATTCAGGGGGCGTGGTCAAAATGTCCGCCGTTCCATGTGACGTCATGGGGAAAACGCGTAAACAACAGGAAATATTGAAAGCGCATTAATGAGTCATGAGACGAATCTACTTTCATTAAAAAAAGGGGGTTTCTGTTTTTTGTGTCAAAACACATGCCGTGTTGAAAGAAGATCCGCGAAATTCAAAACAGCCACCGGAGAATGAAAAATATAACTGAATTTGAGTTAGCAAAAATTACGTTAAACGCGGCGTGTACCAGAGCGCCGCAGTGTATGCACACGACACACTACACTTTACGGAAAAATATGGGCGGGTCGAAAAAAAACGCCTTGATTTTTGAGTTTGAGCTTCACCGTAATAGGTAATAACGAGAGGAGCAGTAGTAACATTCTAATTTATCAAAAAACCAAAGATCGAAAAGTAGAGAAGCAGAGAAGCAGAAAACGCAGAGATGGACCACTAGGAAACGTCGTAGCGAATAAAAGTGCAAACACACGAAGTGAACAACTCCGATTGCGGACTTTCTCATACCGTACTCTTCGAAAATGGAAAACTTGCTTTTTCTCGTACAAATTATTCCAGAACCATGGATAGTACAAAAACCATTCTTTCTCAAAATGAAGATATGTAATCTTTTTCTCAATTTAAATCAAAGTTCTCTCAAAAATCCCAGAAAATACGATTTTTACACCAACACTATATCTATCAGATAAAACCTCCCAAACCCCTCTCCAAGCTTTCATTTTTGGATCAAATACCCTTTAAAAAAAGATTTCAAACCGTATAATTACCAATTCATAGCCTTTTTTTCACGAATATCCCAAGAAATCTTCGAAAAATGAGAGATCACCATTGGAAAAAAAAATTTTTTTCCTTGAAAAAAAGTAAGCACGAGGTCGAAAGATGCCATCGAAGCCCTAGAAGTTTAACTGAAGGGGAAAATTGTAAAAAATCTAAATTTTCCACTGGAAGCCACCTCTAACTTGAAAAATTAACTGGCACCGAAATTTGAAAAAAATCAAAAAAATGAAGTCCCATTCAAAGAGCCCAGTTCTAACCCAGAACTACTAGAACTTAAAAATCTCGAAGTCAATGGTATAAATTTAAAATTTGAAAAAAATTTACCTGAACGCCTCAAAATCATTCAAGAAGAGTTCAAGAATCTTTTTCGAAGGTTCAATAAATTACAAAGTTTTTCAAAGAGAAGCTTTTTTTCCTTGAAGTTGGCTATAAAATTCCTAATTCTATATATTAAAAATATTCCTCGAAGAAAAAGCAAGAAAAAAAGCTCATTCTTCATGTGTTTTTTTCGGACCCAATCAAAGTGTTCAGATGGACTTTTTGAAAGCTTCCAAAATCAGAAAGCATTTTTTTTCTGAAATAAACAGTCAAAAATACTAAAAATCTTTGTACCCAGTCCAAGTGTTCAGAATGATTTTTGGAAATTTCAAAACCTTCTATACGAGTTTGAATAAACATCTTGCAGCTTTCCATCCTAATCGAATTTCTCTATACAATTCCAAACTGTACCATTCCCACACCAACGCCATTTCAATCAAATTAAGCCACCAAAACCTTTTCATGCTCTCCAAAACCTCTCAAACCTTTTATTTTTAATCAAATCAACCCCCTAAAGAATGGACCTCGAAGCGTATAAATACCGAGCCAAAACCGTTTTTGCTCACATTTCCCAATGAAGATCGTCTTTCTGCTTCTGCTCCTCATCGCCTTGGGGGTCCATGGATGGCGCTGTAGCACTCATGAAGGTAAGTCTCCGTTAAATTACAAGCAAGCTTAAAATTCCTTTTTGTCCATAAGAAGATGAAAAAAAATAATATTGGATCTTTCATTTCAACTTCAAAATCAGTAAAATCAGTGCATCTTCAGCGAATGAGTGGGTACGTCGTCGACCGAATCCCACTCCTCCTCTTTCGCGCAGTGCTGTCGATGAACCTCTAACTGAGAAGGGTTTCCGTAAGTTTAAGCTTCAAAAAAAGTCCAGAAATCTTAGAAAAAACCATTATAAGCTGCCGTGGAGTTCTAAAAGCCTTGGTAATTAACTAAAATCTCATTTTTCCTAGATATTTTCCTGAGAATTCAAATTTTCCGCCTAAAATCTTACGAACTTCCTTTTTATACTCCTTCCCTTCCATACAACTTTTCAAGCTAGAAAAAAATTCGAGAAATCTCAGGAAAACCATTATGATCTGCCGTAGAGTTTTAAAAGCCTTACTGAATAACTAAAACCTTTTTTCCTTCCAAAAAATATTCAAAATTCCGCCGAAAAGCTAACGGACTTTTTTTTATACTCCCTTCCCTTTCTAAAAAAATTTTCAAGCTAGAAAAAAAATTCATTAATTTCAGCCGGCGACGCCAACGAAGGCGAGATCAACCCAGACTTCAGAGGTGAGCCTTCGAAATTTCCAAGCCAAAACTTTTATGAACATATTTCCAGGTGACCTGAACAATCCATATGGACCCTACTCGAACTATGGAGGCCAATATGGGAATTATTAACGAAATTTACAAAATGAATAAATAATTTATGTATGGCTTGTATTTCTTTGAAACAAATTCTCATCTCGACTTTATTTCTGATGAACCAAGCGGATTTTCTTGAAGATAAAATCCATAGAGCGAATCTAAAAAATCACAAGAAGATTCGTAATTTCCACATGAGACCCTCATTCATAGATGGCTCAAAATTGGATGGTAGCAAGGAATATTGGGTCCACGAATATTCGTGAGCGTTAATTGTGCATACACCAATCTTGGGGGCTCGAATCTTTGAAAATTTGAATCTTTGAAAGCGATTCTTGGGAATATCCACTTTCTTACTGATTTTTCATAGTTTTTCCAATTTTTTTTGTAAATAGATGTTGATGGAGAATGTACACAGAGTTAAAGGCATAGGGGCAGTAAAAAATGGGGTTTCAGGTGAAAGCAGTATCTTATACAGTTTTTCTTTGCGAATCGAATGGTGTACTCAAAAAAATTACAGATGTGACAACTTTAGAAGAAAAACGCAATTTTACTTTCCCGCCATTAATTTTGAAAAAAGCTTTGGATCGGCCTACGGACAAATGTTTACAGTAGCCGTGCACGCGATGTTGCGGACGTCTCATTAGACTCGCATTTTGTGAGAAATAACCGGATATCTGCTTCAAATCAAGGGTTTCTACTCTGAAAAATCGATTAAGAAAACAGAATACACACATTGATAATAAAGAAAACACAAATAATCGCTATCCCAATCGAAACCTGTGTAAAATCATCATTTTTCACGAAATGCGATCAAAGTTTGCAAACTATACATGAATAGAAAGCTTTTGTGACGAAAAGAACTTTGGTGACAACAGAAAAAATTGAAAATTGAAAGAAACGAAGAAAAAAGCGAAAATCCGGAAGATGGCGAAGCCTGTTGTCCATAGAGCAACTTTACTGCAAAGTGCCCTTTTCGCGGGAACTCAAACTTTCTTCTCTCCGACTTTGAATTATTTTTTCTCCAAAACTAGGAACTTCTGTACGTTTCCAAGTTTACCGTTCGATTCGCAATGAAAAGCTCTACAAAGTACTGCTTTGAACTGAGACACCGTTTTTTACTGCCCCTATCCCTTTAATGAAAATGTGGTAGGCGTTCTGTAGTGGATTTTTGACTACGTGTATGCGAGAAAGACGCATTATTTGATAAAAAGTTAGTTGAAAAAAATCACACAGTGTTCCTTTGTGGTCGAAACACGAAATCCTCACAATAGAACGACAAAGGAAAAAAAATGAAGGAAAGAAAAAAGATGGAGATTCAAAAAAGAGGTGAATATTCCCAAGAAACGTCTTCAAAGATTCAAATTTTCAAAGATTTGAGCCCCCAAGATTGGTGTATGCACAATTAACGCTCACGAATATTCGTGGACCCAATATTCCTTCCTATCATCCAAAATTGAAGCTTCAAATGCTTATAAACGCAGAAATGATGACCCAGACTCAATGTAACCAGTATGAAAGTCTTGAAAACATGAAATTGAAATGTAAAATTATTTTTATTTTCATTTTTCTAGTGTTAATGTCGTCACGACGTCAAAAGATACCACTAAAATTCTAGAAGTTGAACTGATGATTTATTCAAAAATTATCCGATAAAAAGTGTACCATACTCAGCAAGGTTTCTCCCGAATTTTTCCAAAAATGCGGTCTCTAGCGACTCTTCTGGTTTTTTGGTGTCCATCAGCAACCCCATCACAATCTCTACAATCCCTACTTCGACGTCTACTTCGACCAAATCTGCCGCGATTCTCACAAAAAGGAGCTTATTCTCACCCACAAGGGCAGTGAATACGACGGCGTCGGTCAGTACTCATCCAGAGCTGGTTGGTGGGACGAACGTCACGCGAGTTCAGAAGAACGGACGCCACTGCTGCCTCCAGGACGTGAGTTTTAATCTTGAAGGAACCTGAAAAATTTTTTTTAATTATACAATCACGTTGTTTTTTTTTGTTTTTGGAGTTTCCATGACAGAAAATTTTTCCAGAAGACTAAATTTTTGAGCCCTATATAAGAATGCCAAATCGCGCAAGACCCCCATTAAATCTCAAAAAACTCAAGTTCATAGGTTTTTATGAGACAGTCGAATACATACATCTACGACAAAAAAAAAATTATTGATCTATTGCTTAGGTTAGAAATAATCGCTTAGAATGAATTTTGAAATAATTTTTCGATCATTTCAGCTCCGCCTCAACCCTGGCCCTTGACTCCACGGAACTACCAACCGTCAGCTTTTCCCCGGGACCCTCGACCTTTCCAACTTCAGCAACCGAGTAACTCGGTCCGCTTCAACACCGAGACAACATGGCGACCGACTGAACCACGTAAACTCGAAAACCCACGCGATAAGTGGAGTCGAATCTTTGGACGACGCCTTTTCAATGCCTTTTCGGTCCCAGTAGCTATAATAAATTCATTTATTCGTTTCACTCGAGCACAGATTTACAAAGCATACATGGGCGATTCAATTTCTAGGCCGCCCTTCCTAAATTATACAGGCTTGGGCTATCTTCCGTCCGACTTTAAATGGGAAAGAGCTTGGGCCAGGCCATAGTTTCCAAGTGATTTCAAGTGAAAAAGCTTGGGCCAGGCCATAGTTTCCATTGATTGTAAATGAAAAAAAGCTTGGGCCAAACTCGAGCTTTCGCTTGATTTTACGTGAAAAAAAAAGCTTGGGCCAGGCCATAATTTCCGTTCAATTTGCTTGGGCCATCTTCCGCCCGACTTTAAATGAAAAACGCTTGGACCAGCTCATAGTTTCCGATTGATCTCGAGTGGAAAAAGCTTAGCTCAAGCCATACTTTCCCTTTGGTTTTAAAGGAAAAAAGCAGATTTTTTCTCAAGGGAATTGTGATATTCAACTGAAAGATGATTCACGCTTTTTGGGCCAGGCCGACCGCATTTGCTAGAGACCTAGGACCGGGCATGTTTTCTTTGAAATTGAATTATCCATTGTATTGTTTCCCACAGAATAAGTCAATCATCCAAGCCTACGAAAGAACCAACAGCTTTTTTACAAAACAGTCGTGAAAGCTTGCCAGTTGAATCTGAATCTTAAATCGAATCAAAACTGTTTGTCCCATCGTATAGTTTCCCACACCTACGAAAAGCCCTTCTTACAAATTTGCCGAATAATACGATTCCGTTCCAATAATTAAATGAAACCATGACTATCCTCAGAAATTTTCCCACACCTACGTGAAAGCTTCAAAAAGCCTTTCAAAGTCATATGCCCTGCAAGGTCCTATATAAGGCCCCGGATTCTTGATATTTCCACAAGATGCGGTCTCTCGTCCTTCTTCTGCTTCTTTCGGCTTTTGCGGCCGCCAGCCACCACCACCACACCGTCTACGACCCTTACTTCGACGTCTACTTCGATCAAATCTGCCGCGATTCTCACAAAAACGAGCCTGTTCTCACACACAAGGGCCTCGGTTGGCGCTTGAACCGAGCCAACTGGTGGGACAAATATGCGTCCGGTCCCGGAGAACTGACTCCGTTGCTGAACGCACAACGTGAGTTCCCATCCTCTGATCGTCTTCAAAAACGACCTCTCATAGTAAGAAAAACTTCATATGAAGGAGGTTCTTAGCCTCGCTTTTTGTGAATACTAGTCAAATTGTACTCCATGTCCTTTCAATTCCGAAGCTAATTTTTCCCAACTTCCAGAGTTCCCACCCCAACCTCCCAGAGCGGTGCCGATGCCACCTCCACCACCTCCACCTACACAGCAGATCTGGCGTCCAAACAACCCACAAGGAACTCAAAATGGAATCTTCCGTGGCGTTATATTCCGAGGATGAACCCCCAATTTTTCCGTTTTTGATGATTGTTTGAATAAATTTTCATGGAAGTCCGTTTTACAATATAATCTCAAAGCTTAAAAGAAATTATCAGCTCAATTTTCGGATCGACAGCTTCAATGAACTACTGGTTTTCATAATATTGATTATTTCTGAAGAATAAACTCGAAGTTTGAATAAATATTCATGCAAATTAGTATTCATGAGGGAATCGTAAAATTTGACAGAAAAAAATGGAAAGCTTAATTTTTGGTCAAGGCAACATCAGACGCTGTGGGAGAGTCTTCAAATGTTTTTTTCTTTTTTCGAATAAAAAAATTTATAAAAAAACAAATTTCACGGAAAAAAACCGCTTATTGTGCTTTAAAAAAATGGTACTAAAAATTAATCACGATTTTAAAACTTTGAAAAAGTGTCAAAAACGTTTTTGAAACCCTGACTCCGATCTAGGAAGGCCTTATTCTTTATTTTTAGTCACAAATAATTAACTTTCTCTTTTTTAAACCCAAAAAAATTATTCGAGAAGCCTATTGAAGTCATATCTTCGACAAGGAAGTTTCTATATGTGTCAGAATTTACGGATTTTCACAGAAAATGCGATTTCTAAGTTGATCTTCTACTGAAACTTTGAAAGGTAACCATCATGATATTTTGCTGTTATATTTGATACGATATTTTTGTTGGAACCTCCAAGATCCATAAAAAGCGACAGAAGCGTCTTTAGAACCAAGGATGCACGGGACGGGGTCTTTTGATCTCAAGACAAGAATCGAAAAAAAAAATCTCGAGACGAGACACTTCAAAGGGAAAAAAACCCTTGAAAACTACGAAAGCGAAAATTGGGAAAACATTTCTTTTTATTGAGAATACACAAAAAAAATTACTTAAAATCATGCGCGTGGATTAAATTGCATTCGGTGCATTCATCACGACCGGAATACATTACGCTTTATTTTCATATTTTCTGCAAAAAATTTTTTCTCGAAATCTCTCAATACAAAACAGTCAATTTTTAACCGAGACGAGATTGCGTCTTGTGCATTCTTTTTCGATTAGATCTCCACTTCAAAAAGCCTTTTCCTTCCATTTAAGGTTACAAAATATTAGTCTTTAGATTACATAAATTACAAATTATTCCGTGTAAAATCTTCACTCGGAGTGGTCGCTCTCATTCCGAGGCACGGTCTCCGGGCTCCAACTACAACATCCGCTACATTCTGAGCTCGCCAAGGCGCAACTGGATGGACTAGGTGCAGAAGAACGAGGTAAAGGACCATAAGATCATGCTGTCAACTCTTTCGACTACACGCTAAGACTTCTAGTTCACCAAAAGCGGATAGCTTTGAAAGTTCTTATTCACCGCCTAGTCGATAACATCTATGACTAAAACAACAAAATAAACAATTTGATTTGAGTCACAATTTTTCTCACACCCACGGAAAGCCTTTCAAAGTCATATCTTGTACAGGAAAACATTGATGTTTTCCGTCCCAATAATCTAATCAAATCGTATTGTTTCACACGCCCACGAAAAAGGCCCAAAAGCCCTCCAAAGTCTCCCACAGCGAACCCTTTATAAGAGCCGAAACTCCCGCTTTGTCACAAAAATGCGGCTTCTGGTGGTTCTTCTGTTTCTCAGTGCCGTTTCGGCCAAAACTTACCCGCCTTTTTCTCCATTTGACGGTCAAGACTTTGGATACTTGGACGACTACCCAATCCAGCACAAAATCTTCTTTTCTCCAATTCCCAAGCCTTGGAACGATAAATTGATAATCCCTATCAATACTCCTTCGACACCCGCGGAACGCATTCCGTTGCTGCCGGGTAATCCACCGTGTGAGTTTATAATAATAATAATTTATACTTCCAAAGAAAAAAACCGTCCTAGTCCATAAATTTTTAACTAAAAATCTCAAGACGATAAGAAAGAAAAAAATCAACTTTTTGAAGTATTTTTTTCCTGCCCAAATCGGGACATAAAGGTAGGGTGAAGAACAAAAAAAAATTATTCTCGAAACTACAGAGACGTCTGAATCTATTATTTTCTCACACTATTTCGCTGATCGTGCTGAAACTCTCTCTCTCAATGATAAAATTTACAGTATCCAATATACCGTAATACTAAACTCCATTTTTATCTCTAGAGAAGCCTGAATCTCTTGTTTTATCACACTATTTTGCTATTCATGCTAAAAATCTCTTATTGAATAAGCTATATCTACAGTATCCAATATACCGTAAACTAAACTCCGTTTTGATCATAGACGTTTTAAAAATCTACCGAAATATTCTAAAATCGTCTGAATACTTTATTCTCTCACAATATTCCGCTAATCGCGCTGAAACTTTCTCTCAATGATAAAAAGTACAGTAAAAATATACAGTAATCACTAAGAGTCATTTCAAGACCATACTTCCCCTAGGACATCTCCCTCCGATTTTTAAAGGCGAAAATTTTTTCCCCTCAGTTGAAATAACTTTATTCAAACACCAACTATACCGCCCGTCAAAACTACCAGCTTAAAAACCACTGCTCAAAAGAAAAAAAAAAATCCAATTTTCAGACCCCAACTACGGCTCAACTGGTCGTACTCCTCCACTCCAGATTCCGATCAACCGTCCTCCAAACATGCCTTACAGTTGGCCGACTGGACCGATGAGGCCAGGCGGCCCAAGCGGCGGTCCGAACACGCCATTCGGATGAAACTTGCAACTTTTGATTTTTTTCGAATAAATATTTGTGATTTTTTTGGGTCGAAACAACGGAAATTCTATGAAGAAGTTATTGCCATGCCACCTATCCTAGAAAAAGACCGAGAAGCTGTAAAACCAATCTAACCTCTTGAATTCTTTAAAACACCTTTTCTAATGATGAAGTTGTTAAAAGTACGAGCTTCCAGACCTTATTGAAATCGGGAAAAATCCTTTTCCAGCTTCTTCCTTTGGTGATGCCTTCTGAAGTTTAAGAATCCAGTTTTCCCCTAACTTTGTATGATTCCGACTTATCCTGACCAGTGAGGTCTTTCTAACACTACGTATGTGATTAACTAGCCGAAAACTTCCCCTTCTTCAATTTACAAACTTAGAAAATTATAAAATTCATAGCTCCTTTCAAATAACTCCAATTCAGGTCTATACAATTTTTTTGAATATCTGTTCCCATAAATATATAATTCAAGCTCGAAACATTCAATAAAGCTCAAAAAATCTGAAAATTCAAGTTCTCCTGCCTAAAAGTTCAGTAAATAAATTCCTTCGAAAATCTTCAATCCACGTCAACCTAGCCGTTTTAACCTTCTATCCATTGACTTTCCTTCTATTTTTCCGAACGGAAAAGGTCAATTTTTACTTGTAGCTTCGAAAAAGATAAAGATGAATGTACTACATTTTTAACTTCACCTATAAACAAAACAGATTTTTGAAGAGAACCAAAATTATTTGAAAAACCACGTTTTCATAGAAAAAGCTCAAAAAAACTTTTCCTTCCAACTCTGAGTCAGAAAAATCGAAAAAGTTTGTTTCTCCTCAACTTCGATCTTCTCACACCCTTTTATAACACTTCCAAAAACCATCTGAACAATAAAAACGCTTTAAATCAATTATCAACCTTCCCACACCTACGTAAAAGCCTCAAAAGCTTTTTTGGGGTCCTTATAAAGCCCTTCTTTCTCTGCAAACTTCACAAAATGCTGTTCCCAGCTATTCTTTTGCTTTTTTTCCCTACAGCGTATGCGCAGCTCAACGAGGCTTTCTACGATCCCTATTTGGAAAGTGGACCTATTTTCCAGAAAAGTTGGATTCCGAACTGGAACTTGAACCAGAATCATCCCATTCCCTACAATCATCTATCAAACCGTGAGTTTTTTAAGGATTTGTTAGGTTTACCTAGAAGATACTTCCTCATAGTTTATTTAAAGCTCACCTAAATTTACTTAATATTTACCTAAAGCTTACCTAAACCTCACCGTGGGCTACCTAAGCTTACCAAAAACTTACCTTTTCCACTGAAGCTTACCTATAGCTTACCTTAAGCTTATCTAAAGACAATGCGTACCTAAAGCCTACCTAAATCTTACCTGAGCTTATCTAAAGCAACTGGGGCTTGCCTTAATCCACTAAGGATTACTTAAAGCTACTTAAAGCTTACCTGAAGCTTTCCATAATCTCACTTAATCCTTACCTTAAACCAACCCAAACCTTACCCAAACTTTTACCCCCTCCAAAACCCCCAAAATTTCAGATCCATACGTCTACGGCATTGGACCCACCACCACAACTCCGAAACCGATTTATCACATCCCAAATGTCCCGTTCAACTGGCCTAGAAGCCCGATGGGGCCCGGAGGTCCCCCAGGCGTCCAATGGAAAAATCAATTTGGATAATTAATTCAACTTCCCGTTACTATTTTGCTTTGAATAAAAAAATTTTTGAGTGGATATTGTTGGAGAATACACCAAAAAAAATCTAGTTTCCATTTTTCTAGAATAAAAAAAAGCTCAAACTTTCAGTACAACTGGTTTAGAGCTCTGACGTTCTATACAATTTATAAAAATTTCGAAGTTTCCTATTTTCGTTTAGAAAATATGTGAGTCAGTGTTTGTTATGTTGTGCAAAAAATGGCGGAAAATGCTATTCAACTCATTTTTTCAGTGATAAAAACTTCAGAAGCGACTGTTTAATGAAGAAAGTGATGATTTTTTGTATTTTGTTTGATCACTTTTCGTGAAAAATGATTGGAAATGTCTCCGAATTTTTACTTGAACTGATATAAAAGCTGTCAAAATTTCTTTCTATTTTAATTTTTTTACACGGCTTACCATTTTATAATCTCAATAATAAAGACTTGGTGATTCACAAAAGGCGCAAAACTTTTTACGAAAGGAAAAATCTCGAAAAAAGTCTCATTTCAAGCCAAAAAAAAATCCAAAAATGTTTGTTATTTGTGAGCTTCCATACATTATTGTGTGTCTCACACCCCCAAAAACCCTTTCAAAACTCTTCCAAAACCATCTGAACAATGAAAACCATCATCAACCTTCACACACCTACGTAAAAGCCTCAAAAGCTTTTTGGAGCCCTTATAAGGTCCTTCTTTCCTTCCAAACTTCACAAAAAATGCTGTTTCTAGCGGTCCTTCTGCTCTTTTATTCCACTGCGATCGCTCAATTCAACGAGCCTCTTTACGATCCCTACTTCGGGGGTGAACTTTTCCTCCCAAAAAGTTGGTTCCCAAGCCGCGGCTCGAATGGCGGCAGAGGTCAAACACGATACGTTCCTCTTAATGAAAGTGAGTTTTCTCAATTAAAAATAAACTGACTACATCGTAGGCGATATCGCGAAAAACTTCGGCTTGATTTAAAATGTAAATTTTTTTCTCAAGCCATCAAATTATCAATTAATAAATTATTATCATTAAATTCCATCAAAAAAATGTTCACTAGAACAACTTCGTACACATTTTCCAAATTGTCAGACCACATCAACTTCGGCGTGACCACACCGCGTCCTTCTACAGTATACCACGTTCCCAACGTCCCTTTCAATTGGCCCAGAAGTCCAATGGATAAATGGACTCGAAACCCAACGGGACAAACTCCTGGCGGCTGGACCAACCGATTTGGATGAAATTTTCAACTTTTTGTGATTTTTCGAATAAATATTTATCCAAAGGAAAATAAATAAGGCACTGTTTTAACAAGAAAACAACTGGAAAAAACTTTAGTGGTTTTTTAAGGGATCCCTCAAGGACTACTTGGAGAGGACACTAAAAAGGCCACTAAAACCACCTCTATGGAAGCCACTATTACGCTTCTTAGTGACCACTACAGTAGTTTTAGTGGTCTAGTTGTACCACCTAGATTTCTAAAAAGGCCTATAATTTCTAGCCACTCAAGGGGTCACTGACTCGACTACCATATTGGCCACTAACACGTCAAAACCCTAAAGTGGCCACTAAAAATTTTCCCAGGTTTCGCTTACCGAAAATAGAATCGAAATGTTTCGAAATCGAAAAGTTCGACAAAAATGCCTTGAAAGACAGTACTTCTGACAGAGGTGCAGAAAAAACGAATTTTTCGTCCTTGTGGAAATTCTTCAAGAAAAGTTCTTCTAAAACCGTCGAAAACTCGAAAACTACCTTCGTAGCTGTCCAACTGTGTTTTAATTTTCACTTCTCAACTTTTAGGATCTCATATGAAACTTTTGCAATTTTTTGAATTTTTGAATTTTTTTGATGAAAACTTTCCGGGCCAAGAATCAGAAAATTATGAACCTTACTTTCTAAAAACTGTAAAAATTGTTGGATCGATCCTACAACTTGGGATGGTTTGAAAAAAACAAAGAAAAAAATATCATTTCATCCAGAAAAAAATTCTTGAAAAATAGTTATTCTTTGATTTTTCGAGTGTGTAGATTCTTTAGAAAGTCCAATTTTTTTAAATATTACTTTGGTTCTTGGGGTGAAAGAAAAAAAGCCACAAAATCATCTTTGTGTAGGTAAAAAAACTCAATAAAAAGAAGTTTACTTACGAAATTTTTTTAAAAAAATTAAGGAAAAAGAACAAGTTTCAACTTCAAGAAGCTAGTGTTGTCCATATAAAAATTAATTTTTACCTTCCGGGAGGTCGTACTGATTTTAATTCAGAAAGACCTTAGGAGGGTTTCAAAAAAAGTTATTTTCCATGTATAGCATCGTAAAGTTGTTTCGTATAGTGAAGCCTTGTTCGTTTGAAATCTACAAATCAAATCAAAACTATTATTCCCGTCTTTACGTTTCACACACCCACGAAAAAGCCTTGAAAGCCCTTTCTTCCACAAGAAACGCTTTATGAAACCGCTAGACATTGTTTGACTTCGTCCAAATAATCGAATTACAGTCATAAATATCATTAAAACCGTTCCCACACCCTCAAAAACCTTTCAAAGTCATATCCTCAACAAACAAAAAAACGCTATATAAGTCCCTCGTCTCCGGATTCTTCACAAAATGCGGAAACTTCTGGGCCTTCTGCTTCTGTGTGCCGGTGCGGCTGCCCGCAACAGGCCTTCTACATACGACTCCAACTACCCTTCTTACATCGACCAGATGTGCCGTGCCTACTGTGACAAGAACCCTGTACTTCCGAAAAGCGGTCGACCTCAATTTCCTCCTCCACCGCCTCCTACAAGACCAGGACCTCCACCAACTATCATCGTCTCTCCGCCATCTCCGCCACGGATCATCGTCTCTCCGCCAACGCCGCCACGGATCATCATCAGTCCTCCGACGCCGCCGGGTACTCCACCACACAATCCGTGGGGATGAAATGTTCAAACTTATGTTGAACAATGTTTTGAATAAATTATTGCGGAAAGAGTTTGTGTCATTCATATGTAGAAGCATATTTCAAAATAAAGAGACAAGAATCCTTTTTTCTTTAAAATTACTCATATCTTCTTCTTCCAACGCCTTTGTAGTACTTGAGCGACGTCGGCGCCCGAAGTCGATTAACCGAAGTTCCATCCTGACATCAGTGATAATCAGTGGGCTGGTTCTAGTGACATATTCCTCATTGAGACGGAAGGTTATGAAGGTTACGGGGTTCTCCAGCTACCAAAAATTTCTGAAAGTCCTTGGTTGGGTCTAGACGGGGATCGAACTTGTGACCTTGTGACCATAGACAGGCACACACCCTCTTGCGCTACGGCGCGTCCCGAAAAATGTACTCATATCTGTGCCTTTTGAAATAGGCCGTTCGATTCGCAAGAAAAATTTTACAAGATACTGTTTTCAGCTCAAATCCAATATTTTACCTCGTGTACCTTTAAAAATCGCCAACCCTTCCTTTTAGTCTAAAAGGGTGAACCAAAGTAGAGATAAAAAGAATACCCTCAGGAAATTAAGACCCTTGCCTAGCTGCGGGATCTTTTATGAATTTGGCATTGATTCAAAGGAAAATCTATGAATATTCAGAGCTTAAAAAATCTTCCCTAGTTTGGCAAGGAATTACATGAAAATGCAATACTTAGCTTGAAAATTCATAATGATTTTAAGCCTCGAATGTCAAAAAAAAATGAACAGAGAAGTTGACGCCTTGCTTAAAAAGTTACCAAGAAAATCTTTTTGAAAAATCATGATTTTAAAAAAGAAAATCGGACCATCCAACTTAATTTCTTCTGAACTTTAGAAGTCTTCTGCATGTCAATTTGGTTTCAAAAACTCAAATTGTTCTAAAAATTGCAAAATAAGCTGCAAGAAGGGTTTCATCATCCATTTTCAAGTAAAAGGCTCCTATCTAACTGCTTAAAAAACCCAGATACTGACAATTAAAATCCTTTTGTGGCTCAAACTACTCACAAAAGCGTCGAGAGCGTCACTAAAATCCTATAACTGTTCTGAAAAGAAATTTTCTTTCATTTAAAGTCACAAATTATCAATCGACATGTTTCTTACACCCACGAAAAAGCATGGAGAGCCCTTGCAAAGTCATATCTTCCAGAGGAAAATCTTTATAACGGTTCTCAGCCTTTTCGAAATCGTATCTCCGCTTCAGAAAGTCTTTTCCTTTCATTGAAGGCTACAAATTATTAGTCACCATTATTCTCACACCCACGAAAAGTCTTTCAAAACCATATCTTCTACAAGAAAACATTGATGTTTTCCGTTCTAATAATCTAATCAAAACCATCACCATCACTATATAGTTCACACGCCCACGAAAAAGGCCTAAAAGCCCTTTCAAAGTCATTATTTGTGACAAGAGAAGGTATATAAGCCCCCATTCCTCCCTATTTTCAGTCTCAAAAATGAAGAGCCTAGCGATTCTCCTGCTGCTGTGTGCCGCCGCCACGGCCGCACACCACGATTCTCGCTCCTACAGTAGCTTCCTTGACAGTATATGTCAGGACTACTGTGACAGTGAAGATCTCCTGCCCAAGAGCAACCCTAACGATGGACGTCCTCCGCCTCCAGTTCCTCAGGGTCAGCCTATTCCGATGCAACCAAGACCTGGTTTCCCACCAAATCAACGTCCAGTCGACTACAACAACAACTACTTGCCAGGAGGTGATTGAACTTTCCGATTCGATTCGAATTAGGGAAAATAAGACTTTTTCCGTGACGTTTGAACTTCCCTTTCTATTCATTATCAGTACATAAACCAAAAAATTCTTCAGATTGTAAATCTAAACTGCTCTCCAAAAAATACCCTCAATTTTCATCATTTAACATCAAAAAGCTTTAGAAGCTCTTTTAAGCAATTCCTAGAGGGGCTACTATAAAGGACCTTGAAGATTCCCCTCTAGGGACCCCCCTAAAGAGGACAGGAAGCTCGCAAAAGTGGCCCCTCTAGAGGAGCATGCTAGTGGTCCTGAGAGCAGATTTTAGTTATTCGCTGAAAAAAATTTCACTAGTTTCACAATCAAAAGCTCCTTCAAAAAGATGAAAAAAAAAATTTAATTTCAAGTTTATTTTTTCCAAAAATCCATATGGCATCACATCTCGAATTGAAAATAATTTAAAAGACACTAAAAAATACCTATTACAGGTGCATTCCGACCGATCATCCGTCGGCCTGGACCGCCAGGCAACCCGCCAAACTACCCGAACAACCAGCCTCCACAGGGCGGTTGGAACCCTCGATATGGATAAAAAAACGTCTTTTTTTGATACGAAAAAAATGTTCATTTGAATAAAATATTATTCCATTGTTTTATATTTTTCAAAGAACAACTTCTGTTAAAAAAGCTCCACAAGACCACATTTGCTGTCGAGAAAAACTTGGAAAATAGTTTTTGCTTGTTTTGAGAGAAAAAAGTCGAAAATAAAATTAATCAATGAGCTCCTACATTCTCACAAAAACCCTTAGGTTAGCAAAATAATGAAATTTTCATACTATCCATTGATAATCTGTTCTAAAAATCTGCGAATTTCAAAAAAATCCATTTCAGTAACTGAAAGTTCAAAATTCTTTGAAAAAATTTTCTGAAGAATCCTGTGACTCACTTTTTCAATGAAAAAAGTGTTTAGTTGATTAAAATCTTTCCAAAAATATATCTTCGAATATGAATCATGAATTGTTTGCTCAGAAAGCCTAAACAACATTTTGACGGTTTTCCTTTTTAAAATTGAATCAAAACCATTTTTCCAATCATATCGTTTCACACACCTACGAAAAAGCCTGAAAAGCCCCTTCAAAATCATATCTTTCACAAGAAACGATTTATGAAACCACTAGACATTGTTAGTTTCCGTCCAAATAATCGAATTACAGTCGTAAATATCATTAAAACCGTTCCCACACCCTCAAAAACCTTTCAAAGTCATATCCTAAACAAAAAAAAACAACGCTATATAAGCCCCTTGTCTCTGGATTCTTCACAAAATGCGGAAGCTTCTGGTCCTTCTGCTTCTGTGTGTCGCTGCGGCTGCGGCTGCCCGCCACAACACGCCTTCCTACGACTCCTACTACCCTTCTTACATCGACCAGATATGCCGTGTCTACTGTGACAAGGACCCTGTACTTCCGAAAATCGGTCGACTACAATTTCCACCTCCACCTCAATTTCCTCCTCCACTTCCACCTCCACCTCGATTTCCACCTCCACCTCCACCTCGACCTCAATTTCCTCCTCCACCTCCACCTCGACCTCGACCTCGATTTCCTCCTCCTCCACCTCCTATCCAAGCTCCAGGAAGTCAGTGATTAAATAGAAAAAGCATCAACAGTTTCTTCATTCAAATTCCAGCGATTTGTTTGAAAAAAAACGTTCTCTCAAAAAGTCTGAAGTTTCAAAATGTTCTTTCATTAAAAAATCACCAAGCCCAAACGAATCTAGCGTTAGAAATAAAGTTCTGCTGAATTATTCGCTTTTTTACGACGTAATTCTTATTAAAAAAAAAGTCGATATTCTCAACTCAAAAAAAAGTCTAAAAATTTATCCCGACTTTCCATTTGGCTTGGAACTGCGCTATTTTCGGTTTCAAACCTTGAAAATGCAATTTTTCTCATTTACGCTTCAGATCCTTGGAACGGCGGTAACAATCCTCAGCCACCGGTCATTTATACTCAACCAATGCCCAACACCTGGATTCCAAGAACCTACGATACTACTGGCGACCAGCAGAGCGGCGGCATTTGGAGCGGCTTTTGGCCCGGCAGAGGACCTTTTGGATAAAATCTTCGGTTTCTTTGAACTTCCATAAAGTTTTTTTTTGTCATCATTGAAATATTTATGCACACTACTAGACATTTTCAAAAAATAAAAGTTCCAAAACTGCTCTTCGAGGTGTTTAAACGATCGTAGAGCTACGTAGGTTTTGAAAAAAAAAAAACTTTTTTTCATTTTGAGCTCAACCTCTTCCGAGCTCTGCGCCTTTAAACACCTCACCAGCCTGTTTTGAATTAACTTTAAAATATCTCACTAATTTGCTTCTCCATTGTGCTTCTTTTAACTGCAGGAGACGGAGTTCGGCTCAAATCCTGAAATTTTTTCAATGGGTAAAAGAAATTGATTCTTTGTCACCTTAACAGGTACATCTACCAGGAGGAAGAAAAAAACTTTCGAATTCAAAGAGGAGGGGAATGAAGAGTTCTGAAAAATAATCCCGTTCAATCGAAAATTTTAACGAACTCACCGAATTTTTCCGAAATCACATTTCTTCTTTGCTCTATCAAGGTACATTCGTAAAATAGAGCGCTCTCATAGAACAAATTCCAACGAGATACATCTGAAAAAGACAATATTATTAATTCTATATAAAAGCAAGAAATAAAAATAAAAACAAGTCCTAACGAAAAAAAAATCTAATTAATACAAATCGAATAGCTCCTTTTTCGGAGAATAGGCTTTATGAGCTTTTCTGAGCGTGGTTTTGAAGAAAAAAAAATAAAAAATATCAAAAAAATTTGAAAAAAACTTAAAGGCGCATGCTCGCCCGCGAAGATGTCCCGTGGCGCCAAAGTACACACCTTCCATTTTGTTACAGTATACCCCTCTTTGACCGATTTCTATTTTTGTTCATTATTTTACTTTTTTAATTGCTTTTAAGATGTTATTATACGTATTATGTCGCCTTTTGTCTTTTTAAACACGTTTTTCACTGATTTGCATCGTTCAAAGCTAGTTTGGTTCAAAAAATTGGGCGATTTCTATTTTTTTCATGTTTCTGAATTTTTTCTTCTCTTAGTTGAAAGATTATTTTTTGGTCATGCTTTCATCTTTTTATTGCGTTTCAATTTTAGTCAAACAAAGAGCGCTTGTCAGAAACTATTGAATGTATTGGTTGTATCGATTTTCTTCTTTTTATTGTGTTTATAGTGCGTTCCGCGCGAGGCGGTCACGTTTATAATAAAAAGCAAAAATTACACGGCGTTTCGCTCTACAAAACGGCAAAAATACAGCGAAAATCCAAGGTCCTGAAGCAGAGTAGTCTGATTTATTTTGGGAAAACGCTTTTTTTGGCAAAAAAAAAAACAACGTGACGAGCTGCCGCGGAATGGGCTATTATTGAACACGTCGAGTTTTTTGTTTTCTTATTTGTTGAAATTTGAAATTTCAATTTTTAGGTAATCAATTATGCCTAAGGAAATCAAGGAGATCAAGGAGTTCCTTGTAAAGGCCCGAAGGAAGGACGCCAAGTCCGTCAAGATAAAGAAGAACACGAACAACACCAAGTTCAAGGTCCGATGCAGCAAATACTTGTACACCCTGGTCGTTCAAGTAAGATTTTTTCGTGATTAACTTTTTTTGTTTTGAAGCATGTAAAGTCGGTTCAAAAAACTTTTCTGTGGTGTTCAAAGACGCAGAAGCCTCGAATGATATGGAAGATTTTTGATGACAGCTTCTCGCGACAGTTTTTAAATTTCTCTGCTCCTTTGAACATCATAACTTGGAATTATGAAACGACTGAATTTTTGTTTCTTGAGTTGTATTAAGCTCTGAAAAGATTCTTATATATCATTCGCCACAATTTAGCACAGTCTGACCGATCTGAGGACTTTTTCTCTTCGCCGGCGAGTTCACAGAAATTTGAAAATACAACTAAACATAAGAGTGTCGCCAAAGAGAGAAAGGACAAAATAAGCCTGTTCAAAATTGTGGCGAATAGACGTAAGAAGCTGATATTAATACAATGTTGATCAAATTGCTGAGAGCTTATTGGAAAAAAATTTCATTTTTTTAAACGCAAAAATTTTTTTCAACTATTCCGAAAAATAATAAAAGCAATGCTAAGTTCAGTTGATAACTTCTAATCATTTTTGTGTATTTTTATAAGCAAACCGAATTTTCTTCGAAATTTTTTTATGCATTTTAGCAGTCAATTTTTTTGAAGCGAACTTTTTAATATAAAAATCAGTTGATTTTTTTCAATGATTCAGAAAGCTTGCCTGTTTGTGAAAAATGCTCCCTAGGGAACGTTTTTTACTTCCCCTGGTTGAAATTGATGAAACTTTGCTAAAGTGTACCTCAGGACCTACGAATTTCAGCACTAAAAAGTTCTTTTTACAGATCTTTTTTTCGAAAACGCTTCAAAGGCTTAAAATACTGCTTACTTGTCATAACTTTTGTATCTAGCGGACTTTAAAGCTTCATAACTTGAAAACAAGACCTATTGCGAGAAATTTTTTTTTCTGTTTCTGCATTCAGCCCTCAAGTACACCGAAGTTTCATCAAAAGTTCAACCGGAAGGTAAAAAAGTTTTCCAGTCAGTAGATTTTCTCGTTCTCGATGCAAACACCAATTGCGGGTTCGGTGACTGCCGAACGTCGTTAGTTATGTTTTGCTAGATGAAATAACCATTTCGAAGGCAATTTCGATGATTGTCGATATCTGCTCAAAAATGGTTCACAATAATCTTGATTTCTATTGAAAACCTTCTTTTTTTCTGCTCTTGTGATTATCAACGCTCCCTTTCAGGATAAGGAAAAGGCCGAGAAGCTGAAGCAGTCCCTACCTCCAGGCATCCAAGTCAAGGAGCTCAAGTAAATCTGCTTTTTCTTTGTTATTGTTATACCCGATAAATTTTGTCATAAAAAGTCTTTATATTTTGTGCAAATATAATCTTATTCTTTTTTCTTGTGAGCAAGTTGGAGAATAGTGTGCAGGGAACCCGTTGCACTGTACAGAAACCACAATATTTCCGTGACAAAAAAATCCAGGAAGCTCCATAATCATTAATACACTGATTATATTTATAAGAAATTTTTCTTTTTCTTTTTTTAGAACCTCTTGTCTACTTGATTTTTTGAAACGTCGAACATTTGTAAAGGATCACGAGAGATCTGCTAATGTAGCAAAATTTAAGTTTCTGATTGATGATTGAGTTCGAAAAAGCCTTTCCGATTATCTGATAACAGGAAATGAGCCCGTGTATCGTGAATTATGGAGTGCCATAGGGGAAAAAATATCAATTGTACGAATTGTGTTCGCATTGGGGATCATCGGGAATGCTCTCCATCCACGCGCACTTGAAATTTCGCTGTCCGCACGGATTATAGCCGATTGCACAATACCTTCAAATCAAATGAATTTCGTAAGAAAATAAGTAAACATACCAGTCATGATAGAAGAAAAGATACATAGTAACAAATAACACCGATACGTAGAAAATTAAGGAGATGACTTCGAGTCGACGTATCACAGTCGGCCATTTTGCGTTCGCATTGTCCTGAGGCATCAGAGCGACCATGTCGTTTCTGAAAATAATTATAACTTCAAAGGTTTTAACACGCTGTCTCCGTTATTCTCAAAAACAACGGGTACAATAAAAAAAAATATTTTTTGATTTGGATGAAACTTCACCCAGTGTGATACCCCATCATCAGAAATGCGGACCCAACTTTTTGAGCCATTTCTTCTTACTGTAGCCGGGTTACGGTAGGCAGGTGGGCACCTGCGTATCTCAGTATTGAAGAGTTTTTACTAGGCGAGTGATATATCAATCGATAGGTAATCCAATTTCAAGAACTTTTACAGTACATACCATCTTGGGTTACGGTCGAAAAATTTTGAGTTACGGTACTTTTTGGGTCTGCCGAGTCAGTTTTTCGACCACCATGAGCTTGAGCCAGGAGATCCATTCTTCCTAACTTCTCAAAAGATACCTTATGAGAAGCTGTACAAGCTGGTACTAGTTTGAAAAAATCCTAGGTGGACCATCATTTCGTAAAATCGCCCCGAAGGCGCGCAATCGTGGTCTTGCGGCGGCCAAGTGGGTGAAGTCCATGATGCCGGACGGCTCATTTTTCACAGATCCATTCCAATCTTTGTTTCCATTTCACTCATAGATGTCTATTATTGATTTTTTTATTTCAATTTGAGATGTTTTTCGGGTTGACCATCATTTCGAAATTTCATTTTTGAACCCAAATTTGGCCTGAAATGGCCGACTCGGCCTTTTTCACGGGATCCCTGACCCCGTATGTGACCGTTCTCAACTTTTTTCTTTTTTAAACATGAACAAGAGTGCCTGAACAACAGTTTTATAACAATCGGAAACCCTTTTGAGAGGACCATCATCTCGAAATTTCATTTTGAACCCAAATTTGGCCTGAAAAGGGCCGACATGGCTTTTTCCACGGGATCCCTGACCCCGTATGTGACCGTTCTCAACTTTTTTCTTTTTTAAACATGAACAAGAGTGTCTGAACAACAGTTTTATAACAATCGGAAACCCTTTTGAGAGGACCATCATCTCGAAATTTCATTTTGAACCCAAATTTGGCCTGAAATGGCCGACTCGGCCTTTTTCACGGGATCCCTGACCCCGTATGTGACCGTTCTCAACTTTTTTCTTTCTTAAACATGAACAAGAGTGCCTGAACAACAGTTTTATAACAATCGGAAACCCTTTTGAGAGGACCATCATCTCGAAATTTCATTTTGAACCCAATTTTTTTTTGGTTATTTTTTCACAAAAATAGTCACATGACGAATGTCTTGTTTTTTAGGTATGAAAAATTTTGAAGATTTAGAACTACTATTTAGGTTATAATAAAAACATTTATAAAAAATCACCTTGAAAGTTAAGTTTCAACCTCACCGGTGGTCAGAGTGTCGGGTTTTCTCTTTCATGAAAAAAATTACTTGGTATTTCACATTTCTCATTTTTGATTACCTGTTTTGAAAATAAATTGGCAGACTAGATTTTGCTGTAAATGATAAAAACTTCAAATGGGAAAACTAAGCCGATATTTGGGTTCAAAATGGAATTTCGAGATGATGGTCCTCTCAAAAGGGTTTCCGATTGTTATAAAACTGTTGTTCAGGCACTCTTGTTCATGTTTAAGAAAGAAAAAAGTTGAGAACGGTCACATACGAAGTCAGGGATCCCGTGAAAAAGGCCGAGTCGGCCATTTCAGGCCAAATTTGGGTTCAAAATGAAATTTCGAAATGATGGTCAACCCGAAAACATCTCAAATTGAAATAAAAATCAATAATAGACATCTATGAGTGAAATGGAAACAAAGATTGGAATGGATCTGTGAAAAATGAGCCGTCCGGCATCATGGACTTCACCCACTTGGCCGCCGCAAGACCACGATTGCGCGCCTTCGGGGCGATTTTACGAAATGATGGTCCACCTAGGATTTTTTCAAACTAGTACCAGCTTGTACAGCTTCTCATAAGGTATCTTTTGAGAAGTTAGGAAGAATGGATCTCCTGGCTCAAGCTCATGGTGGTCGAAAAACTGACTCGGCAGACCCAAAAAGTACCGTAACTCAAAATTTTTCGACCGTAACCCAAGATGGTATGTACTGTAAAAGTTCTTGAAATTGGATTACCTATCGATTGATATATCACTCGCCTAGTAAAAACTCTTCAATACTGAGATACGCAGGTGCCCACCTGCCTACCGTAACCCGGCTACAGTAAGAAGAAATGGCTCAAAAAGTTGGGTCCGCATTTCTGATGATGGGGTATCACACTGGGTGAAGTTTCATCCAAATCAAAACATATTTTTTTTTTATTGTACCCGTTGCTTTTAGAAATTTTTTAGAATAACGGAGACAGCGTGTTAAATGAGAACCTTATTCCATCGACGCTCTTCTCGATCGTCGTCATGCAATTGGCAATGTCCTCAAGAGCCTGCTCATAGTATTGATACAAAACCATGTTGTCGTATTGCGACATGCTCAGCCGCCGTCGCAGGGCTTCTCTTGGCGGCGTACCGTCCTGTAAAAACATCATTTTAGTTTATTTTTTGAACTCTTGAATATAACTCTCAATGCAGAGTCGAGGGGTAATTCGGCGATTTTTAGCGACATTTACGTGCCAAATCGAAAATTTTGAAACGTTTTGGCATTCTCGGACCTCGGAAACGAAAACCCGACGTTCCTGAGCAATTCTAGGGATCACTTAAGGGTGCTGACGCTACTTAAGTGGTCACTAGAAAGGCCCCAACACGTTCGTTTCGCGTTACCAATTTCCGAGATTTTTAAGGAAAATTTTGAAACACTTTTCTTTGTAAATTCTCTAAAAAATACCTGAAAAGCCTCTCTTTTCGGCCATTTTGACTTGAAAAAAATCGGTTCGAAATACTTTATTCCTTCATTTTTCTGGCTGAGGGTCGTGAAAAGCACGAAATTGGGTATTTCGGACCAATTTTTGAGCTCAAAATGGCCAGAATGACTGCCGTATTAGGTATTTTTGAAATCAGGGAAAAATATAGCATTTTTTGAGGCCTTCTGATGCATTTTTGGGCCGAGGGGCGTAAAGCTCTAGTCAAAAAAGCTCGGTTTGTCATTTTTCGTAAGTTTCCAACTCCAGCTGATGCGAAGAAGAAGAAGCAGTCATGACCAATTTTGAAAAAAAAGCTTTATAAAAAAATGAAAAAGACCTGTTGAACGGGTACCGTATGCATGTGCATGTGAAAGGGGCTGTTGGTGTTCTCGGCGTTGCGCGGGAGCAACGACAGCAGTGAGCTGGCGACTCCGCGAGCCTTGTCCCGGATTCCGGACTGCACGTGGCCGTTCGAAAGCAAATGCTCCTGAAGCTCATGCGGCTAAAAAAAAAGCAAAAAAAATGAGAAAAAATGAGCCGCGGCTAGCTTTTTGTCGAACTTTCGCCAGAGCGGTCCCTGAAGGGCACTCCAAGTTCCCCTCTTGGGACCACTTTCCCTCCTCCTAGACGGGGCACTGAAGCTTGCAAAAGTGGTCATTCTAGGGGAGGATGCTCTTGGTCTCTACACACGTTTTTTTAAAATATGAACGAGAATTGAAAGACCGCTTTAGGGGCCACTTAAGAAGTTAGATTAGTTGTCACTCTAGGGGAGCATGTTACAAAAGTTAGAAGACCCCTAGAGGGACCACTCAAGGTTTAGGGGCTTGAAATGAGGGTCCTATCCAAAACCTCTATAGGGACCGCCTAAATTTCACCCCTCTAGGGAGCACTATTCACTCTCCTCAAGCCTATAGGGATCACTCGAGGGTTCTCAAGTATCTCTTGGAGAGTCGAACTATGAAATATTGAAAGTTGAAAAAGATTCAAGTCATTTTTCATTATAAACCATTTTTTTTGAAACTACTATATTTCCTCGGACGTTGGAAAACGTTTCTGGGCGATTCTAGGGGTCACTTAAGGGTGCTGAGGCTACTAAAATGGTCACTAAAAATGCCCCGACACGTCCGATTCGCGTCCCGTTCACGTTACCAAGGTCCGAGACTTTTTCAATATTTTCCTGGAGCGCAACTGATTATTAAAAATATCGATAAAAATTTAAAATAAACATGCGAAAAGTCCTATTGCAGAAAATAATTTTTTTAGAAATTGAAGCTTACAGACGGTGGATCGCCATATTGCTGCGGCCGGTACCGGGATATTTTCCTGAAATTTTATTCAATTAAAAAAATCACATTTATTTTTTCTTCTTGTTTTCTTACTCATTTCATATTCCTTTTCGACAAACTAAACTAAATATTCTCAGGGATTTCTTTAGGGATCCAACAAAGCTCAAATTTCTACTCGGCTTTAAAAAAATGCGAAAAAAAGGCTGTGAAAGATTGAGCTTGTGCGCTCCATGGAGAAAGATTTTTCGGACGGTTTGGAAATTTATTTGATGAGTTTTTAGATTTCATTTTTTCATTTGAAAAATATGCTAATGAAAGCGAGAAATTCTGAAAAAATGGCTGTAGAATATTGAGCTTCTGCGCTCCATGGGCAATTTTTAAGAAATTTTCTTACTTTTGTCATTTCAGGCTCGGACACTGGTGACGCAAAACTGACTTTACTGGGCAATTTTAGGGATCACTTAAGAGTTTTGACGCTACTAAAGTGATCCCTAGAAAACGTGGGCATTTCTAGTGACCACTTTAGTAGCGTCAGCACTCTTAAATGATCCCTAGAATCGTCACAAACGTCCGGAGCACGTTACCAATGTCCGAGGGCTGTTTTACGGACCCTTTTTCTATAAATTCATAGGAAAATCACCTCGCCAATCGACGGGGACTGATATCGAAGGACAGCCAGGTGAGGTACCAGGGGATCGCGTGTTTCGCCCGAACGTCGCGCTCCAGAAAGACGAACATCGACGTCGTGACCGTGCTCAGGCCGATGATGGCCAACAAGATGAAGTAGTACAGGCCTGAGAACGGAAGTGTGAATTTTGGAATTTTCTGAACATTTTTTGGGCTACGATCCCATTTGTCACTTTCAGGGGCCTTGCCGATTCATCTAGATGATTTTCAATGCTCTTAAGAACGCCAGAGTGGTCCCTATAGGGGTTAGGGGCGAAAAAAACCCCTATAGGAGTCGAAAAAGTGGTCCCGATAGGGTTTAAGGTCTTACCTCAAGTGGACCCTACAGGGGTCTACAAGATCTCTCGACGTCGAACTTTAACAATAACGAGTAAGTTTCGAAATCATCCAAAAATAAATGGATAGGATTTTTGCAGAAAATGGTTTATTTTCAACTTTTCGAGCCTAAATAAAACTTTTTCAACGCTTTGAAGGCTATTTTTGAGCTCAAAAAGTCTCTTTTTATTTTATTTTCAAAAAAAGGGTTTTTTTGAACCTTAAAAAGTATTTTCTTCCAATCTTTTGAAAAATCAATCACGAAAAATCAAAAAAAAAGCATTTCATACCGACCAGGGAAGGTTACGTTTCTCTTCAGCATTATAATAAATGAAAATTTCTTTCCGACGCTCATCTCTCCAATCTCGTTCGCTAATTTGAAACAACAAAAATGGAAGTTATGATTGGACTTTTTATCTTGTTTTCTGAATAAGTACTTTTCAGCCTTGGATTTGGAAAAACGATTTTCAAGGCTTCAAGTAGAATTTCTGACGAAAAAAAACCGTATATATACAGTCGATGTGCCACAAGTTGGAATTTCATGGAACGACACTCCGCTGTGTCGATTTGTGCGGTAGCGCGCATCTTGCGAATTTACCAATCTCGGCCACGCTAATTTTTTGTCAAAGCCATGTTTCAATGTTTTCATCGTTTTTTTCCTGTTTGTTACATTGGTTAATGGATTATTTCAGAAAGTGAGTGGCTTATAAAATGAAGACGTGTACGCACTATGAAATAGAAAGATCGGTTTCAGTCAATATAACGTTTTTCACTGCTTATTTATCCCCTGGTTGAATTATTGGCATTCCGAAAAACTTTATTCATCCATTGCACTGCCAAAAAGTTCATAAAACTAAAGAATTATCAAAGAAAATGTATTTGAAAACGGCAAATTATAAAAGGGGAAAGCGTGACCGAGATCCGCAAAGGCATTGATTTTTCACGACCACAAGGCCACCGAGCGGAGTGTCGTTCCATGAAATTTCAACTCGTGGCACGTCGACTATAATGTTCTCACAGAAGAAGGGTTTTTGCTCTTGAACAATTAAAAAAATATTTTTTTGATTGAAATTCAAAAAAATACAATTTTACAAGTCCTACCTTTGAACAGTGAATTTCAGAAAAAATCTAGTCTTGAAATTTTTTTCTCGAATATCTGACCTTAACTGTCCATTAGAGAAAAATAGTAGAGAAAAAAATGTATTAGCTTGTGAAAAAAATTCTCATTTTTTTAAATTTTTCATAAGAATTTTTGACTAGATATTTGAGTAGTGGCTTGTAAAATAAAAATCGATGATTTTTTTCATTCAAAAAACCCTTATTTGTTCAGTTTGTCCTAATGGAAATGCTTCTTCGCTTAGATTTCATAGCAATCAAAAAAAAAAACGCTAGATTGGCCACTTTTGCAAGCTTTAGTGGCCCCTATAGGGGTTGGTAAAATGGTTCCTAAAGGGGCCCTATAGGGATCACTCTGGAGTTCCTAAGTATCGTGGGAAAAAATAGTTCAAGTACAAAATTCAAGTGGTCCTACAAGGGTTTGGGGTCTGACGCCCAAGCCCCTGAGTTCAAGTGGTCCCTATAGAGGTCTTTTTCTCGAAAACTAAGAGTTTTTATAAGTTGAACTTTTGTCAAGGCCCAAAAACGGGAGAAACTCGGGCAAAAGCCTCACCAATCAGAGGGATTCCCGAGAAGGAGCCGCGGCCTTTCCGATGAGTTCCCATACTGAATTTGGGCATGTCTTCGACGATTGCCAGAAGAATGACGGACATACTCATCAGGGTCATGATTCCCAGTCGGAATTTGGCGTCCCTAAAAATTTAGGGATGAACTTTGTTTGATTCTATCAATTTTTGAACAAAGAGAAGTAACATCTTATGGCCCCCAGATTTATAAGCCTTCTCGAAAATATTTTCGAACGCTCTGACCTGTCTGCGCTCTCTTTTCTCTCGCAGGCGATCAGAAAATGAAAACAACGCTTGAAAAAGAGAGTGCAGAGATGTCAGAGGGTTCCAAGTTATGGCGAGTGGAATAGAAAAAAAAAATCAGTTTTTGGTCGCACTTGGAATGGCTCAAAGCTGATAAAAACGCCCTCTTCGATACCAAGGCGCGCAAGTCGTTTTTGGTCGGGCGCCATTTCAAAGCGATTTGAGACATTCCACATGCGACCTATCTACATGGTTTCTAATGTTTGAAAAATTCCCCTACGGAAACTAATACTGATCTCTATAAACATTTCTTTTCACTCTGAATGGAAACAGGAAAAATATTTAAAACTGATTAATCGAAAAAAAAATTTCACACCCACTCTAGAGGTGGTAGAATAACTACGCCTCACACTCTTAGTTCAGAAAGTTTGCTAGTCTTTTTAAAGGAGCATAGCCAATATTTCAAAGAAGTTCTTGGCGCGAAAAAGTCTTTTTGAGTTATTTAAGGTACTCCTGGCTACTTTCACCAACTTTTCAGGCCAAAATTCGAGTTTTGGTCATAGAATTTTAACAATGAAAATTCAGAAGGACGAAAAATTATTACCTTAATTTTCCACTAGTGCTAGGCGTATGGAAACCGATCACAGAAACGAGCGTTATCATCGTACTTGGTATCACCAGATTGAACACTGAAAATCCAAAAAATCGTAGGAAAAATTAAAAAAGAACAATTTTTTTTTAAAAATTGGATCCTGGAAATCTAAACCTGCAAAACTTCCTAGTTTTCGAGAACTGAGGGCTCAAAATCAAAGAAAACCCCACTAAAAAAACTGCCCAGATAAACGCGATATCGCTGCCGATACAATGACGATATCGCAAAAGTTCTGCTTTGCAGTCGCACTTGCATTTTCCTTGAAGCGACTTCGAAATTTGGGAATTTCCATTTTTTTTTTTTTGAGTGCGAGAGAAATGCGATATCGCAAAAGTTCTGCTCTGTAGCCGCGCCGGTCTTGAAACTCCCTTGACACGACATCGATTTTTGGGAATTTGCAATTTTTTAGAGTGCGAGATAAATGCGATATCGCAAAAGTTCTTTGCAGTCGCACTTGCATTTTCCTTGACGCGACATCGAAATTTGGTTATCGGCATTTTTTTTGACTCCGAGAGAAAGGCGATATCGCGCTTAGAGAAAGCGTAACCAGCACAAGCAGGACTTTTGCGATGTCGTAAATTTGCCGTAAGCGAGGGACGAGCGATATCGCGCAAAGAAAAATGCGAATTCACCGCGGGAATACAGCAGCACTTTTGCGATATCGTCAGCGATATCGCTTTTCTCTCGCGCTGGATTAGGCAGTAAAATTTGGTGCTGATTTCAGAACAGTCTCTAAGAGAGCCTGCAGAGAAAAAAAGAAACGTCTCTCACTTTTCAACGCTCTTTAACTTCTAAAGACTCCTTTGAAAATATTTATAGTACTCTTGAACCATTTAAGTTTCGTCCAAAAAATCATATGGTTAAAAAAATCAAAAAAATTTTTTTCCTGATCACTTACCGTAGTAAAAGCTTTGCCGTCGTACGACTAAAGTGATAATAATCATTTCCCAGAAAAGGGGCGGGTCTAAATAATCGTAGAGGTAGCCGTTGGACGTCACCGAACTGTTCTTCTGAAATTTTTTTATATTTTTCAAGTTTAAAATTCAAAAAAAGTGTATGGAAGTGGTTCTTTATAAAAAAAGCAATCGAAATTTTTCAAAAAAAGAGCGATTTGGAAAGTTAGGCCATAGCCTTGAAAAAAACAAACTGAAGCCTTTGAAATTTGAAAAACTCAATAAATTCTCATAAAAAAACAATTTTTTTCCTAGAGACGCAAAATGGCTCTTGACGGGAATATGAAATTCGAAAAGGGCCACGATTTGGAAAAGTAAGGCCGTGGCATTGGAAAACAAAATTAAACCTTTCAAATTTCGAAAAAGCATTATATATTTTCATAAAAACCCATTCTTTGTCGAAAAGTCGCAAAATGGCCCCTGGCGGGAATTTGAATTTCAAAAGGGACACGGTTTGGAAAACTAGGCTGCGACTTTTTTTTTCTCTCTGTTCAAATCGTTTTTCTGAGTTTCGCCCAAAAAATGGCTTCAGAGACTAGAAAATTGCGAAAATTTGGGAAGTAAGGCCGTGGCCTATTTTCCCAAATTGCTTCTTCAAACTTTGGCTCAAAATCATGAAAAACTTCCCAAATACTCGGGAAAAAAGAACCCACCATATCTAATTCCCATTCCTGATTGTCATAGAAATCAATAAGGGACAAGTTTTGGGAATACAACGAATATTTGATCGAATCGTTGGAATGAGCCCAGGAGCCGAAGAGAAGTGTGCATTCTTGTCTGGAAACCGATATTTTTTCGAATTTTCGAAAATTCTGTGTTCAAAGCTTATTTTAAAATTCAGAGAGTTGGAATAAAAGTTGATTTTTTAATAAAACGTTTATTTTTTTCCCCTTTGAAGAATTTTCTAAAGAAAACGATTTTTTTTTGTTCCTGAATAATAATTTTCCTTTTCTTCATTTAAAACTCCCAGAAACTCAAGTGGTCCCTATAGGAGTTCAAAGCCTGAGCCCTGAAGCCCTGCAGCTTTAAAGGGGCCTCTATAGGGATAAAAATTAGGTGCCGACTACAGGGGTTCAGATTCTGACGCAAAAGCACCTAAAGCTCAAGTGGCCCCTATAGGGATACGATTTAGGTGTTCTCCATAGGGGTTCAGGGTCTGATTTCTGAGCCCCTAAAAGAAGCTCAAGTGGTCCCTAAAGGAGTTCAATGTGTGACCCAAAAGCCCTAGAGCTTTAAGTGGTCCCTACAGGGATAAAACTAAAGTGGTCCCTATAGGAGTCCGAAGGGTGGCCCCGAAGCCCTAAAGTGGTCCCTCTAGTGATCTTTTAGTTAATCGCATTGAAATGGTTTTCTCGTCTAGTTACAAGGAAAAGGTAACAATAACGAATTCCCTAGAGTGGCCACTTTTGCAAGCTCCAGTGTCCCCTATAGGGTGAGATATGGAGCCTTCAAGGGCCTCTGCCCCGCTAGGGACCACTCTGGTGCTTGGCAGAACATTTAGATCGAACTTTCTATTTTTTTTTCCAGACCAAAACTCGAAAAGTTGCGGAAAAAGGAAAAGGAAACGAACACGTCGAACGGGAAGAACTTGACGTCCAATTTGCAGAGCGACTCGGAACTGAAGGGGATGTAGTAGCGGACGTGGCCCGTGTAGTTCACCCGGGCGTCGTTGTTCGTTTGTAACCGCACCGCGTCGTTGAAGTTCAAACTAAATACAAATTTTCTTGGATGACCCTCTAAAATTCACTTTTTCTAACGGCTTTTTTGAATTTCGCGTAACGTGACATTAGCTACATAGAAATTTGTGCACAAAAATTGGAAATCCAGAAATTTATCCATGGAGCGCACATTGTTCGGATGAAACAGCTTTATTGGTAACGGATGATTTTTTTAAAAATCTTTTTTTAAAAAAATTAAGAATATCGTATTTGAAAAACCTAAGTTTCATGAATTTTTTTCGAGAAAAAAATCGAATTTTTCAAAAAAACTGGAAATCTTTTTCGCCTTTTTTTCTGTTTTTATAAGAAATTCAATAGAATTGATGTACAGAAGGATCTCAAAATTTGCTGGAAATGGAAAAAGTAGTATTCTCAATGGAGCGCACAAGGTTGGAAATTTTAAGGCTATTTTTTCTCATCAGTTTTTTCACTTTTGTTCCCTTGAAATCTATTTTTTCAAGCTCCATTGTATTCAAAAATAGCTTAAATTTCATTTTTATAGATTTATTTTGAAAAAAATCCTCTAGATAATTTAAAGGGACATGCAGAAATTTGAGAAAAAAAGGTTTCGAAAAAGCCTTTTTATGAACATTTCTCATTTTTGTGTTTCAGAAAACATTTTTAAACAGACTGAACTTTGGAAAAAGTCAAACTACAACAAAAAAACAAGCTTCACCGATCCATCTTTTTCCAACACCCTTAACGGGAAATCGAGGGGGGCGGGGGGAATAAGCGTAGCTAATCATATCATTAATCACAACATGGGGGAGAATTTGTGTAAGGGGAAATTCCGCAAACAAATTGCTTTTTCAAGTTTTTTTCGGCTTTTTCTTTCCGTCCAGTTGATGGGTTGTGTAACAGCAACCTGCCCATTTTTTTGGTCGTTTCGCGGTTCCACCCGGGGGTGGTTTTTCTCGGTCTTGCCGTCCTTACTTTTTCAGTTTCGGCCCTATTTATCGAGTTTTTGTAGTACATCTTTTCACAAAAATCGATTTCCAGCAGTTTCTTATTAAATAATTGACAAATCCTAGCCTTCAAAAAAAGCTACTTTTCATAAAAAATGGCAAAAACCTCATTTCAAGAGCTGTACAGTATCATTTCCTTCAAAAGTCGATAAAAAAAAAACTTTTCTTCGGATCAATCAATGAATCCCCTTCTGCATAAAAAACTAACCGAAAAAGGAAAATTTTTTATTTTACGATTACTGGAATGGAAAATCCTTATTGAACTGAACAGTGGTAGGTGCCCCTAGAGGGGCAAGATTTAAGTGGTCCCTATAAGGATTTGAGTCTGATCCTGAGCTCCTACAGCTTGAGTGGTCTCTTTAGGGATTTTCGAATTTTTTTTCTTAACGAAACGATTCATACTCTGTAGATATTTTTCATTAAATTAAAAAATCGAAGGGTTTCTCTCATAAAGTTCCTTACAGCTTCCCTAGAGTGGCCATTTTTTCAAGCTTCGGTACCCACTAGAGGGGGAGGTGAGGTGGTCCCTAAAAGGGAATCTTCAAGTTCCCCTACAGTCGCCCCTCTAGGGGCCACTATGGCGTTCCTGAGTTCCTTCTCAAACATTAGAATTCTATACAGATTTTGGCTTCACACTTTAAGAGCTTTAGTGGTCCCTAAAGGGGTATCTTTAATTGCTCCCAAGGTTGCCCCTCTAGGGACCACTCTTCTCGAAGGGGGCACTATGGCGTTCCTGAGTTCCTTCTAGAAAAATAGAAATCTATACAGAGTTCGGCTTCAAGTTCTGTTTACTTTGAGAGCTATAGTGGTCCCTAAAGGAGAACCATCAAGAGCCCCCAAAGTCGCCCCTCTAGGGACCACTCTGGCGTCCCTGAATTCCTTCTCGAAAAGTTTGAATCTATGAAGATTTCGGCTTCACACTTTAAGAGCTCTAGTGGTCCCTAGAGGGGAATCTGTTAATGTCCCCAAAGAAGTCACTCTAGGGACCGCTCTAGGGACCACTCTGGCGTTCCTGAGTTCCTTCTCGAAAAATAGGAACCTATGCAGATTTTCACTTAAAACTTCAAGAGATATAGTCGTCCCTACAGGGGTATCTTCAAGTTCCCCTACAGTCGCCCCTCTAGGGGCCACTATGGCGTTCCTGAGTTACTTCTCGAAAAGTAGGATTCTACGCAGATTTTAGCTTCAAGTTCTTCAAAATTCAAGAGCTATAGTGGTCCCTAAAGGGGTGTCTTCAAGTGCCCCCATAGTCACCTCTCTAGGGGCCATTCTGAGGTCCTTGAGTTCCTTCTCGAAAAATAAGAACATATGCAAATTTTGACTACAAGTTTTGTATACTTTGAGAGTTATAGTGGCCCCTAAAGGGGTATCTTCAAGTCCCCCCTACAGTCGCCCCTCTAGGGGCCACTCTGGCGTTCCCAAGTTAAAGAATATCTTCTCGAAAAGTAGGAATCTTCCAGGAACTTCTCAAGCGCCTCCTCGTAAGGAAGATCAAACATAAAAGGGAAAAAACTTGGGTTTCGAAAAAACCCCGAGCGAAAGGGAACAAGAAATGTTGTCCTTGGGTGCGATCAATGCCACCACCAACCAACACACTCGTTCGTATTATTCTTCCTCATCTCATTGTTGGAAGCGTCTTGGCGTCGTCCGTCGGATTTCTTCCAGTTCATCGAACCTTCCCAGCCCAATTTACTTCTTATTGTTCGTTAAGATTCGATTTCAATCGATGATCTCGTCATTTTTGAAATTATGAACTTCGAAATGGTCACGGTACACTCTGAGCGGAGATAAGCTGAATTTCGAGACAGGGAATATCCACTTTTTAGCAAATCTCAAAGCCTAGGAGAAGTTTTTATTATTCCCATATACATTTACTTCTAATCGTTCTTGAAATCTTCCTAATTTGATAAAAAAAGTTACTTTTGAAGCTCGATTTTGACAGACAAATCCTACTTTTTTTAAAGGCTTTCCTTGCAAATCTCACATTTTGAATGGAAATTCACGAAACTTTGAATCCTTCCCAACCAAATTTACTTCTAATTGTTCTGTATGATATTCGATTTTAATCGATTCTTAATCATAACTTGAAAATTTAAGCTTTGAATTTGTTATTTTAAGCTCTTTTCATCGATTTTAGAAACGTCTTGCCGTCCGATTTATTTGAAAATTGAATTATGATTTTCAAAATTGTCCTTTCAAGCCCAATTTGATAGAGATTGGTTCTTTGAAGCTTGATTTTGACGGATAAATCCTCTTTTTAAAGCTTAGCAAATCTCAAAGTATGAATGAAAATTCACGAAATCCTTTCCAACCCAATTTACTTCTAATTGTTCGTTAAGAATCGATTACAATCGATAATCTCGTCATTTTTTGAAATTTTGAACTTCGAAATGGTTACTCTATTTGGGAATCATTTTGGGGCTTTTCGTAGCAAATTATTTAGGGAAAAATATTTGGAGCGCAGATATGACTTTTCGAAGCCCCGCCAAACATAAAAGAACGCGGGCGCGGTGTCGTATTGCGATCCGGTGGCTTCCTGCAGCAATGGCTTTTTTAGAGCAGCAGGGAAGACGGCGGCATAGTAGGAATAGGGTCATAAGTTCGGTCCAGCGCTGTGCAAAGTATTTTTGCAATTTTTTCTTTTTTCGGATATGTTTGTACAAGTGCTCCTTTTTTGAGTTTCGAAGCGTGAAAACATGAAAACTGCGTCCGAAGGCCATTTCCTGGTAGATTTGATGAGAAATGGATGCTAGAAGAGACTATCAAGCCTATTCTTCCTACCTCTTCTGATTAAATTATACGCCAATCGATAAAAATCCTCTGAACTTTCCTACTTCATCTTTTGATCTGTTAAAACCCAATGAATTGAAAAAGATGCAGTTCAAAACTACTCTGGAACAAGCAAAATTCTTGAAACTTCTTTTCGAATGGAAATGAAGAAAAAAAGTACCTGTAATAGAGCGAAAATTCGGGGATCCAGATGTCAGAACTGGCGAGGAAAATCTCAGTGGCGCCTTCATAACTCGCCGGATCCCATTGTAGAAATTCATCGATCCAGTACTGAAATGTCATAAATCATTACTTCATTAAGCTCAAAAGGTCTTGAACAAGTGTTGTTGAAAGTTTTAAGATTTACGATAACTGGCCTATTTTTGTTAATTTTTTAAAAAGAAGTCTCAATGGGAATTTCTCTTTTTGACCGTTTTTTAATAGTCTTTTATGTCCCTGCGCACAAGTCGGTTCAGGACGGGTGCGCCACAAACCAACCGCACCGCGACCGCAACGCTCTGAGCCATTCCACGTGCGGTCATCCACTCCCAAGTTTTTAATAACTCCTTTTTTCAGTTTTTTTTCTCTACTTTTTGTTACACCTTTCTTCTGAACTTCCCAAAGTCCCCCCCTTTTTTTATTTCAAATTGCGATGCCGTGGTCGCACGTAGAATGATTCGAATTTGGTTTAAAGCTGACCCCAAATTTATAACCGTTCTCTAATTTTATTAAATGCTTCAAGGCGCAAACCGCTTCGAGTCGGTTGCATCTCGGAAAATTCCGTAAAGCTCTGAGCCATTCTACCTGCGGCCACCAACTTCCATTTTGCGAAAATCAATGATTTTTTTTTGATTTCCCGAGAAATCTTATCTCTTGAACTTCCCAACCTCTCAATCAAGTTAGCTAAAAATACTTCCGCCAGGGCGAAAATCGAAAAACTTTTCCTTTTTCCCGCCGCCTCGAAAAAACCAGTTTTCGATGGGTTTTCTTGAGGAACAACCCCCCGAAAAACGGTCACGCATTGCCCTTGCGGAAGTATTTTCCTTTGTTTCTCGAAAAATATCATTTCGCTGCGCATCAACTGATAATTCTGTTTCACTTGCCGTCTCTTCTATTTTCTATATTTCGTCAAATAACAAAACTATGCTATTTTCGAACCAGAAAAGTCTTCCAAAATGGAAAAATCCCAATTTTCTCTGCATCTCTCGCCGTCTCCTTCATTCTCACACTGTTTCTATCTATTTCTCATTTTTAGAAGAGTATGAAAAAAAACTTTCAATCTAAGACGAAAAACTTCTCTTTTTTCTCATTCAATCTCAAGTTTGCTCATCATTTCAGTCTATTGCTCATGTTAAAAGAATCGGGTGAAAATTTCACTCCAAGCCTATTTTCTTCTTTTTCTCATTCTCGCTCGAGACTCCTCATTATTTCTACCTATTGCTCATGTTACAAAATTAAAAAATCGCAACATGTTGCTCATGTTACAGAACTAAAATTATTTTGTAGTGTCTTTTGAAGCCCATTTTTTCGTTTTTCCTCATTCTCTCTCCAATTTACCAACTATTGCAGAATATTGCTCATGTTACAAATTTTTTTTTGTTTTCGGTAGAAAGAGATCCCCCTTTTCGCATTTTTCTCCTTTTCTCACTATTGCAAAATATTGCTCATGTTACCGAATTATAAAACTGCTTTGAAAATCTATACTTTTCCCCTTCTTTCCCTTCTAAATCAATGACCTCATTATTTCAACGCATTGCTCATATTACAGGTGAAATGCGGGCGGTCTGGATCGCCCTCGCCATTGTCGTCGTCGGCGCCTCGGCGCAAACCATGACTAAGACAGGTTTTTTTTTTCACTTCCTTCTCTGGGCTCTCTAAGTTTGATACGATCTCTCGCCTTTCCGATTCTTCGTTTTTTTTTTTCTATTATCCTTAGAGATCGGCGTTGCGTAATACTTTCTTCGGATTGCAACATTGGCTTGATTGGAAAATGCAAGGGATTTTCCCGGGGTTTAGCTTAGGCGGTCCCTATGGAGGTCCAGATTTGCCTCTTGAAGCTCAAGTGGTCCCTACAGTGGTCTTCTAGCATGCTCCCCTAGAGGGGCTACTAACGAAAGGCAGAGAGGCCCCTATAGGGGTTAAGGAAAAACTGCTCCAATGAGAGCCAGAAAAGGGCCCCCTATAGGAGTGAAACTTAGGCGGTCCCTATGGAGGTTAAGATTCGACTCCTAAAGCTAAGTGGTCCCTACAGTGGTCTTTAAGGAGGCTACCTAGGGTGAGCCACTAACGAAAGGCAGAGTGGTCCCTAGAGGGGTTGGGGGAAAAAACAACCCCTATAGGGGACAAGCCCCATTAAAGGGGAAAAATTTAGTCTTCATAAGGGCTTTTAAACCTCAAAAGGTCTTACCACTATACCCCAAAAGCTTAAGTGGTCCCTATAGGAGTATTTCAATTTATTTTTCTGTGGAATTTTTTTATTGAAAAAGTTAACTCATTCGAAATTCTTCTTCTTATGAAGTTCATAAAAAAATAATCACCTAGATCGTCCTCCTCTATACACTTCCGCAAGCTTTTTGTGCGGCCTATATGGAAGGGGGGGTGTAGAGTTTGTCCCAGGGGGAGGTAGAACTTGTTGTAGGGGCTTTTCAGGAACCACTTTTCGAAATGGGATAAAATTCTTATTTTTCATGGACGATTTTTTTGAAATTTTTTTGAAGTTTTTTGTTAGAAAAATATAATGGATTTATACGATTTTTTTAGGTTTCCGAGAACTTGAAAATCTTCTTTCTCATTAAAAAAAACATCAAGAGAGATTTAATGAATATATTAAATAAATAACAGACTTTTTCATAGATAAAAAAATTTACAAAATAAAATTGTGGATCATTTTTCTATGTATCCAACTGGAATAAAAAGTTGAAAAAAAATTCAAAAAAATTTAGCTTCTAAGAAGCCAAAAAAATCTATTAGAAAATGACTTTTTTTATGGAAAATTTCATGAGAATTTCCCGGATTTTTTTCAAGAAGAGAGCGAAAAATCAGCCTTCTCAAACTCGCTTACGCAGAAAAAAAGCTTGAAAAAAACCACTTGAACCTCGAAGATCCTATAAACAGCGTTGTCTCAAGAGGTAATCTCACCGATATATCTTAAAACTTTAAAAAAATTGGAAAAGATTCCATTGAAAAAGTAAAAAATCCTTCAAAACGTATCAAAAATCTCGATTTTCACCTTCAAATCCAAAAAAAAGGGTCAAAAGATAGAAATATTTCGAAATTGACCGTAGTCAGTTTTAGAATCATTGTGGAAAAAAACCCAAAAAAAAACAGCCGAAATATTTCATCACAAGGGTGCTCCATGGATAATTGTACACTTTTAGAACACTTTGCCTTTTCAAGTTCTAGTCAAATACATGTACTTTAAAAGGTCCTAATTCTATTCGGACATGAATAGGGAAAATTGCACTTTTTCAAAAATCAACAAAATCTGTTTCAATTGGTCCGGTTTGATAGAAAAAACTTGGAAAGCCAACCTCAAAAAAAAAACAGCCGAAATATTTTATCACAAGGGTGCTCCATGGATAATTGTACACTTTTTTGCGCCAAAGGTCTAAAAATAATGTCAGAAAGCTCCTTTACTTACAGAAATCTTTAAAAATGCTTTAAAAATTCCGAAAAACTTTTGATCGATCCATTGATCTTCCTCGAAAAATCTGATGTTGACTTTATGAATTTTTGGCGCTTAAAGTCCTAAAAAATCATACCGAAAAGCTACGGAACCTCTCAAAAACTTAAAAAATATTCAAAAATCCGAAAAAACCTCTGAATATCCAAGAAAACTTTGATCTGTACTTCAAATTTCATCGAAAAACCCGATAATTATTCGAAAAATCACGTCAGAAAGCTCCTGAAACTTTCAAAAATCCAACAGAAAACTCTGATCGGTCCCTCTTCTTCGAAAAATCTCGAAAAGCAAGAAAAAAGGAGCGGGTCTCGACGACTCAAGTGCTGGAAGTATATCAAAACGGACAAGGCGGCCCCGCGTCCGAATAAATCAAAATGCAGCCAGCCACCGACGCTGTCGTTTCCAATCGCCAAGAACACAAAAAATCAGGAAAAAAAAAGAGGAACGAGTATAAAAAATCCTGTCCGTTCCTTTTTCCTTCTCCGAATAATATTTTTTATTGTTCTAAATTAGGATTGAGGGAGAATAAAAATTATGACGTCACTCGAATAAATTAGCAAAAAAAAAGCTCATTCTCCGAAAAATGGGCTACATAAAAACGAGAGAAAATAATAGCTATGACGTCATTAACGGCTTGAACGATGACGTCACTCGAAAAAAAAGCGAAAAAAATTGTTTAGTCTCTATTTCATGAACAAAAAATGTATTACAGGAAGATTGAGAGAAAATGATAATTATGACGTCATCAGACGTCCAGGTCGAAACTGAGAGAAAATAATAGTTATGACGTCATTAAAGGATTGAATGATGACGTCACTTGAAAAAAACCAAAAAAGGGAAGTTTTGTGACTTTTCCTACCCGACCGATGTGTTACAGGAATTTTAAGAGAGGTTTTAAATTATGACGTCGTCAAAGGCTTGAACGATGACGTCACTGAGAAAAAATCAGCGAAAAAACTTTTAGTCTTTTTTTCTTAACCAACTGATGTGTCACAGGAAAAATGAGGGATAATAATAATTATGACGTCATCAAAGGTCCAATTCAATCGATGACGTCACTAGAAAAAAGAGCAAATCAAAAAATTTTGTCCCTTATTTTTCCGGAGATTGTGGTAAAATGATACAAATGACGTCATGAAAAGTCGATGACGTAACTTCGAAAAAAATATTGGGCCGATTATATTCCACAATAGTTTTTTTCACATAAATCGCGGAAAAATCCACAAAAAAACTTTTTTCTCGGCCTTTTGAAATCTAAAATCTTCTCAAAAACTGATTCATTTTATTTGAAAAGCTGAGTGACCAATCAATTACGATATTCTCGTTACAGTAATCGACTTCTGTTCGTTGTCGGACCCGAAATCGTGCGGCGAGGGCGGCCAATGCGTCAAAAGGCAGCTCGGGAATCGCTGCGTCTGCCCCGAGGGCTACATGGGAAGAGCCTGTCGTCGTGAGTTTCAAAAACTCAAAAAATCATCAAAAATCATAAAAAATGGAGAAGAGTCCTTCAGTAATTCTGAAAAATGGGCTCAAAATTTTTTCAAATTTCGTTTTTTTTTCAGCATCGATTCAATTCAAATAAAACAAGACTAAAACTTTTTTCTGAAACATTAAAGACATCTACACGTCTTTTGTCACAAATCATTGCTTCCTGGTCACATTTGGAATGGTTTAGCGCGTCGCGGTTGCGTAACGTCGACTGCACCCGACTTTTTACTACTTGCGCGTGGCGGCACCTTTTAGCTTAAGTGATTTCTTAAAAATCCCATTGAAAAATTAGCCGTATTGAAACTACTATTTCTTACCGCCCAAACAGAATTTCCGAAAAAAAATGACGTCATTTGGAGCTGACAGAAATTGAAAAAAAATGACGTCACTTCGAATTTTTTCGGAAAAGTGACGTCATTGTAATTTTTCATGACGTCATAGGCCGTTTTTCTACAGATTGGTGTACACATACATGAGTCACATCGAAAAAAAAAATTGAAAAAAGTTCATTTTCACGGCCAAAACGCAGCGCGACCGCGACGCGTTCAGCCATTCCAAATGCAACAAAAATGACGTCAATCCATGCTTTCATGACGTCACAGATAATTTCTCTACAGGTCAAGTGACAATGAAAAAACAATCATTAAAAAAAATAATTTCTAACGCTAAAACTCAGCGCGACCGCGACGCGTTCAGCCATTCCAAATGCAACAAAAATGACGTCATTTCATGTTTTCATGACGTCATAGACCATTTTTCTACAGATAACGCCACACAAAAATATGATCTTGAGTCCCATTCAAAACCGCGAACCCGCAGCGCAACCGCGACGCATTAAACCATTCCAAATGCGACCAAAAAGTTGACAATGACGGGAAGTGACGTCATTAAACTTTTTCATGACGTCACAGACCATTTTTCTACAGATGACGCCACACAAAAATATGATCTTCAGTCCCATTCAAAGCCGCGAACCCGCAGCGCGACGCGTTCAGCCATTCCAAATGCGACCAAATTCAGGCCCCTGTCAGGACGTCTACAAGAGCTGCACGCGTTGGAAGGACGAGGACCGTTGCAGTTGGACGCGGCCGATTTCGCCGTTTTTCGCCGACAATTGCGCCCTATCGTGCGGCGTTTGCCGGAGCCTCGGACAGGGTAATTTTTTCAGTATAAATATTGATTTTTTATCGATTTTTTTCAGCGTTACAACTGACTTTGCCGCCAATTTTGGACAATATCGAATGGTTCGTGGGAAGATGGGAATCCAGGACCACTGCTGCACATAGGTAAAAATTGATTTTTTTTCAAAAATTGCACTTAGGAGCTCCAGAGTGGTCCCTATAGGGGTCCTCTGTAGGTAGCACTTCACCAACCCTTTAGGGGACACTAAGCTTGCAAAAGTGGCCCTTATAGGGGACCAGCGGGTTTTCATGAACTCGTAGAAGCATTTCCATGCGAAAAACTGAAAAGTTAAAATTTTTGAATAAAATTGAACGACCCCTATAGGGACCACTTTTTTTCAGCCCCTAAAGAGGCTGTTTTTCCCGCCTACCCCTATAGGGATCCCTCAAGCTTCAGGGGCCAGACCCTAAAACCCTCTAGGGACCACTTTTTCAGCCCCTAAAGAGGCTGTTTTCCCGCCAACCCCTATAGGGACCACTTTTCAGCCCCTAAAGAGGCTATTTTTCCCCTTACCCCTAAAGGGACCACTCTGAAATTCTTTAGAGGAATGAAAGGTCAGACAGTGAGAAATATAACTAAATTTTTGGAGGGTCAGAGATAATTTTTTTAATCTTGAAAACCCAATATAAAGATAAACGAAAAAAAATTAATTTTAAGGATAATTCAACTTTTTTTGAAACAGTAATCAGGCGTCTAGAGTTGAAAATTCGGATTTTTCTCAGGTTCCCCGAGCCAATGAGCGGCGCCTACATCGAGACGCTGGACGTTCAAATTTCGGATGTTCCCGCTTTTGACCGACCCCCGGTCAATATTTCGTGAGTTTTTGAAACGATTCTTCAGATGATTTGTATGGAAGAACTTCCAAAAATTAAGAAATCAACCAAAAAAAATTTTTTTTATCTCAAAATTTTTTTTCTGCCAAAAATCGACTCATTTCTGATATTCCTCTAAAAAAACTCTCTTTGATTTTATTTCAAAAAGTTCAAAAAAATTCTAGGAAATCTAAGAAATCTATACGTAAACGTGATGTTAAAATGGTCTCATTTAAAAAAATTAAAAATTGAAACTACCTTCCAAAAAGCTGTACATCCTTTTCAAATAGAAGAAAAAGATCACCAGAAATTAAATTTTTTTCTGCCCTTTATAACCCTTCTTTTTTCACAAAACTACCAAAAAAATCGAATCAATTTTTAAAGGAGTTCTTGAAAAATCGTACCATAACTTTTAATTTTTTTAATAGAAACGGAAAAAAAGTCAAGATCAAAGTCAAAAAAAATCTTGAAATTTTTTTGAGGCTTATCTCTTTTTTTGCTTTAATTTGTACAAGTTCTAATGGAACCCTTAAACATTTCTACCTAAACCCTCATATTTTTTTGTTAAAAAAATGAGAAAAAAACTGATTCTTTCTAGGATTCTGTACTATTGAAACTTATGCAATTCATAAAGAATTTGAAAAAAAGTTCTAAAATCTTGGAAATCTTCGGTTTGTAAAAAAATAGAATCGATTTTTTTGAAAAAAACCCTAAAAAAAATTCTTTCAATTAAAGTTTCAAAAAGTGCGTCCTCAAATTCTGGGAGAAAAAAAAATCAAAAAATCAAAAATTTTTTTTTCAATTTTTCCCAAAATCGCGTCGATTTTAGTGAGAAATTCTCAAAAATTCCTACCCAAACCCTCATTTTTTCAATAAAAACGAAAAAAACGGGTCCCTCAGAACAAGTTATACTAAAAGAACTTCAAAAATTCCAAAAAAGATTCTGGAAAATCTAAAAAAATCTATAGGCTATAGGTCAACGGGAACTTCTTGAGATCAATGTTTTTTTCTGCCAAAAAAATCGAAAAAAAGTTCTAAAAAGATCCCTCGAAAAATACCCCCCCCAACCCTCATTTTTTTACATTTTTTTCGTGAATTCCTTGAGATCAACTTTTTTTCAGCCAAAAAAATCGGTTCGTGTCCATAAAACCCTCGAAAATCTCCCCCAACCCTCATTTTTTTCAATAAAAAGGAGAAAATAACGGATTTCTCAAGGCAACTTACACTAAAGTAACTTCAAAACTTTCAAAAAAATAATGGAAAATCTAAAAAAATCTAAACTCCTAGGATTTTTCCGCTAAAAAAATCGGATCGTGTCCAAAAAAACCCTCAAAATTCCCCCAAAACCCCCCATTTTTTTCGATAAAAAAACGAGGAAAAAGCGGTGAGGATTAAAGTCAAAGTCTTATCTTGTCCCTTCAGTCAAAATATATTTGTTGGTGGCATTTGAGAGCGAACATGTTCAGGAAGGCAAAAAAAAAAAATGGTGAAGGGTGGGGGATTAACTGGAACTCGAAAACAGTGTACTTGGGTTTCGAAATTTCGGTTCCATATTAAATCATTGATTTTTGGCCTATTTTTATTCTTTCGACCTCGAAAAACAACTTTATGAAGCTAGTTCTTCAAAAATCAATCCCAAAAAAATCATAATTTGACTCCTGAAATCATCCAAAAATCACCAAAAATCAAAAAATAAAAAATTTTTTTTCGATTTTTTTTTATGGTAAATTGATAAAGTTTTTAGGTTATTTTTGTCATATAAAACTTCAAAAAGTCTTTTTTCAGGCCTGTTTTTCCAAAATTCTTCTCAAAACCTTTAATTAGACCCCAAAAATATTCCGAAAATCTTCGAAAAATGCTTTTTTTCTGAGCTTTTCCATCTTAAATTATTGATTTTGGGCCTATTTTTATTCTACCTCAAGCCAAATTCATTGAAAATCCATCTCAAGTCCCTAAAACCCTCCAAAAAATCCCTTCTATTTCCTGAGCTTTTCCCTCTGAGAGATCAAAAGTCATGAGAGAGATTAGAGAAAGAGAGGGAAGAAATGTGTCGGCGGCGATGACTCTTCCGTCGATGAATAACGTCACCCCGGGGAGTTGCCCCAAGCCCAAGAATTTCGGAGGGCCTTTCAAATGTTTCCTTCCAAGACGAAAAAGCAACGAAATCCATGGTTATGGGTCAACATTATGCTAATTTTAGTGGATTTTTTGAAAAATTGGAGATCAATGGTCTTCTTAGCAATGTCAAGGGTCCCATTGAGAAAAAAATGAGAAAAATTTTTTGATTTTTCAAATTTGTTCATTTTACAGCTTTTTTTGACTAATATTCTTTTTTAAAAAAATATTTTTTTAAATTGAGAACAATTTAATGCCCTATGAGACTTATTTTCAAGCTTAAAAATTAAAAAAATTCGTCGAAAAATGAATTTTTAACCTGTAAAGTCCAGTTTGTAGACGAAAAATGAGAAACAAAAAAAAATTAGGGATCAGTGATCTTCCCAGCAATGTCAAGGGTCCCATTGAGAAAAAAATGAGAAAAATTTTTCTTGATTTTTTTGTTTTCCAAATTTTAGAGCTTTTTTTGACTAGGATTATTTTTCTTAAATGTTTTTTTAAAATGAATAATGTTTTGAAGTCCTAAAAGCCTTATTTTTCAAGCTTGAAAAAAATGCCAAATTCGTCAAAAAAATTAATTTTTTTAACCTCTAAAGTCCAGTTTGTAGGCGGAAAAACAAAAAAAATTTTAAATTCAAAAAAATTTACTTTTTCTCAATATTAAAATTGATAATTCCACCCCTTAAGTGATCCCGAAGAAATTATACTCCAGAAAAGTGCAAAATTTTTTCCAAAAAAGGGCTGAAAGATCGCTCAAACGATAAGGCTTTAGTAAGACAAATGAGGACACTGTAGTGGTCCCTTGGGACTCGCGATAAAAAATAAATTGGTAGTCATGGTGGTCTTTTTCGAATGAATTCTTGGAAAATCTAAAAAAAAGGCTTAAAATTAGGAAAAAGAGGGAGAAAACATGAAGGATCATGTGCGCTCTATTGACAATTCTTTTCACAAACTTCGAATTTTAGAGTTTTTTTAAGGGAAAATAGATTTTTTTGGATCAATTATTGTAAAATCACGTTAATTCCAAAGTAACGAAGAACAAAAAAATCGAAAAAAATCAGGAAAAAAATGAAAAAGTCATGTGCGCTCCATTGATAATTTTTCTCCAAAACCTTCGATTTTTCACAATTTTTTTCCGAAAATTCTTTTTTTGGAATAGTTGTTTTGAAATCTCGTTAATTCCAAAGAATTGAAGCTTGAACAATCGAAGACAAAAAGAAAAAATCAGGAAAAAAAAATGAAGAGTCATGTGCGCTCCACTGACAATTTTCTCCGAAACGTTCGAATTTTCCGATTTTTCAAACTTTCTTGAATAAGTTTTCAAAAAAAAATTCATTAATATCAGAGATCTAAGGCATGAAAACTAAAAAAAAAGTCGGAAAATTCCGAAAAAACCGAAAAAAAAAATAGAAGATAATCGTGTAACATGTGCGCTCCACTGACAATTCTCTTCAAAACCTACGAATTTTCCGATTCTTCAAACTTTTTCGGATAAGTTTTCAGCAAATCATTTTTCATATCAAAGAAATAAGGCAGGAAAACCAGGACAAGTCCAAAAAAAAATTTTTTTTTTAATTGGACAGCATGTGCGCTCCATTGACAATTCTCTTCAAAATCTTCGAATTTCGCAGATTTTCAAAATTTTTTTGAATAAGTTTTCAAAAAATATTCATCAATATCGAACAAATAAGGCAGGAAAAACTAGAAAAAACAATTTTCTCCAAAACCTTCAAGTTTCGCGATTTTTTTAAACAGTTTTTGAATCACATGTTCATCAATATCATCGAGTTGAGGCAAGAAAAGTGAAATAATTTTTCAGAGTGAAAGCGATGACCCTGGACGGTCGGGACGTCCACACAGAGGTCGGATTTTTGACTTCGAAGCCGTTCCACGAAGACACGGGCTTCGTTGAGCTGAACAAGCCGAAGGACGGCGATGATTTGGTGGCTATCGAGCTGGTCACCAACACAGGTTAGGCTTGGTCAAGAGGCTAACACTTTTGCTCGTCAGTCAAAGGGTCAGGGGATCGATCCCGCTGCTGTCATTTTTGCAAAAAAAAAAGCTTCTTTTGCAGGGAAAAATCAATACTCCCCATAAATCAATAAAAAATCAAGAAAATTACTTTCTAAATGGAGTTTTTCGGGGAAAATCTCTTTGAAATGATAATTTCTGGGTCCAAAATGAATGAACTATTGACTTTTTATATTTCTCCGATGAATCGATCAAATATTGATTTTTTGAATTTTTTTTTCCGATAATTTTCGAGAAATATCGTCAAGTGGCCTCTTAAGGTAAATATACCACTGTGAAAAAAAATTTTCAAAATTTTTCAAAAAAACTTCTCATTTTTCTATCGACTTTCTAGCCAAAAAAAGTGAAATCAAAAAAATCAAATTTCTTCAAAATTTTTTTACCTGACCCTCCAAAAATCCATCTCAATGAAAAAAAGTACCGACTAGAAACTAACAAGGAAGCTTTTTTTCTTGCGGATCTTCTCATGGGCAAAACTGCCCCTAATTGCACGATTTTGCCTCCTCTCGAAATGAGGCTAATCGGTCTGAAGAAACGAGGAAAAAAAGAATTTTTTTCCATAAAATATCGATGTTTTGAAGGAGAATGACTGAGGATTTCAAAAAAAGAAAAAAAAATTTTTTTGAAAGAGCTGAAGATCATTGAGAATGTGCGCTCCACGGAGAAAAAAATTTTTGAACTCATCAGGAAAAAGAGTTCTTGAAAAAGCTATGATCTTCAAAAAAACTAAAGGAAAGTACTGAAATTATTTTTAAAAAAATCGAAAATTCTCTATTTTTTTCTCAGTGGAGCAAATTAAGTCAAGAAAAAATGGCCGAAATCCAATTTTTAACGTTTTTTTCCCGTTATAATTTATTTTCGAGTTTTCTAGAATCTCCTTAAGCTTTTAAAAAAGTGATTCAAAGCCAAGAATTTCAGAAATCAAAAAAATAAAATTCAAGAGTTCAAAAAAATTTGAAAAAAAGTTGGAAAAAAATTATTTTTTTAAAAAAATATTGAAAAAAATTGTACAGCTCGTTCCCTAACTCTTAAGGATTCACTGGTAAAAAAAAAGAAAATTTCAGGAATAATGTTGATCGAGGAAGGTACAGTACGCGGCCAGCAGCTTCGTCTCGAGACCAAATACAAGAAAGCGATGCCCGGCGTTTTTCGGCAGGAATTTACCAAGGTAAAAACGAAAAAAAAGAGTTGAAGAAGACGAAAAATCAGTAATAAGGTTCAGAATGAATAAAATAATGGCTAAGGCTCCAAAAGGCCTCAAAAACTGGTCAAATATTTCTCGGAAAAAATCGCCGCCGAAAAAGTCAGAGCTAGTGCGCTCCATTGATAATGAGACCTTTTTCCACTTGCAGATTGATTTTTAGGCTCATAGATGACCTGAAAACTATTATTATTCAAGTTTAGCCATGAAGCGCACGAGCCCAAACTTCCACGGCCGAAATTTCCCAATGTTTTTTTTTTTAAATAACTATATACTCAATTTTTTAGGCCCGCCGAGTTTTCACTCTAGTCCAAGACGGTGTTCTAGAAGAACGGGTCGCGATTGTGGACAACTTTGGAAAATCTACGAAATGGTTAAAAAGGTCAGTTTAGAACAAGATTTGGTTTAAAATAGATCAAAAATAATGCTTGAAAAAAAGTTCATCCCATCCCAGGAATTCCAGAGTGATCCCTAGAGTGGTTTGAAGAAAAAAACAGGCCCCTTTAGTGGACAAAGAGCTCCCTAGATGAGTGAAATTAAGGTGGTTACTATAGGGGTTTCAGGGCCAGACCGAAAAGCCTCTAAAGCATAAGTGGTCCCTATAGGGGTCTTTGAGTTTTCTGGTCAGATTTGTATGTTAAGAAGACGTATAGGTACCCCTAGAATGCTCCCCTAGAGTGGACACTATCTGAAACCCCTAAAGTGGCCGCTTTGGCGAGATTTAGAGCCCATATAGGGGCAAGGCAAGTGGTCCTTTGAGGGGAACCTTAAAGCGATCCTAAAGTTGCCCCTCTAGGGGCCACTTGGCGTTCCTAAGCTCCTCCTCTTTCTTTTTCTGACGTCATAAGATCAAAAAATAATGTCATAAGATAAAAAAATGACGTCATAAGATCAAAAAAATGACGTCATAATTATTTTTTTACAGAATATAGTTCAATAAATGAAGTAAAATCAACTCGAAAAATAGTTTTTCCAAAAAAAAAAATATCAAAACTGGAAAAAAATGACGTCATCAAAACTACAAAAAAAGTGACGTCATTCTTCAATTCAAATCCATAACTCGAAAAAAAAAAATAAAGAGCCAAAAAATCTCAAAAATCAATAAAATAGTCCATTAATTTTTCCTATGACAGTGATTTTTGTTCAATATTTGAACTAGAAAAAAAAATATTTAAAAAAAATCTAAAAATCGAGGAATCAATCGATAAATCATGTCAGGATACTGATTATGATAATTTTTTTAAAAATTTTCCAAACTCTATTATTATCAAAAATTTTTCATCCAAACCTGATAAAAAAATACCCCTTTTTTTCTCGAACTTGAACCATTCAAAAACCAGAAAAACCTTCTGAATCAATAAAAAAAAACTGAAATCCCTTCAAAAAATCGATTAAAAAAATCCAGAAAGCCCTTCGAAACCCCAGAAAAACCCACTGAACCAATAAAAACCCCCAAATTTTTTCCAGATACCGAAAAGTCTTCGACTACATGACCGACTTCGTCCCAGTCGCCGTGAAACCCGCAAAAGGGTCGAAAAATCAATAAAATCGATAAAAACTGACCAGTTCGAAGCTGCCCGACAGGCTGATCGTGTTCTTGACGGCGTCCTGGAAAATTTTAATTTTTTTTTCCAACGGGTTCTTTTTTTGTTGTACCTTCTCATCGTTGATAGTTTCCGATTAGATTAATGAATTTTTTTCAAGTCTACTTCATGAAAGAGCACTAAAACAACTTTGGTCATTTGGTCAAGTGGCTAAGACTTCTGGTCGAGGCTCAGAGAGTCAAAAGTTCAATCCCCATGACGATTCAATAGAGGAAAGGTGGTATGAAAAAACCACCAGCGAAAGTTCGAACGGCGACTTTTCCGATTTTTTCATATCGCTAGGGAACTTTCCGACGGCCACCTTTCCGACGGATCCCTTTCCGACTTTTTTCCCTTAAGTTTTTCGGTTTATAAAACATCTATAAACATTGTTTTTTTTTCTATTTCTTTGTGTTTTTAATCATTAACCAACTACCTACTTTATATAGGGAGATTTAAAACGAATATTTATCGAGAAAAAAAAGTCGGAAAAAGATTCGTCGGAAAGGTGGCCGTCGGAAAGTTCCCTAACGATATGAAAAAATCGGAAAAGTCGCCGTTTAAATTTTCGCTGGTGTTTTTTTTATACCACCAGAGGAAACGATGAAAAAGAGCCCAAAAACAACTTTGGCAATTTGGTCAAGTGGCTAAGACTTCCGGTCGAGGCTCAGAGAGTCGAAAGTTCAATCCCCATGGAGGTTTTCTCAGCGATTCCATCTCAAACAATCTGGACCACTTGGTCAAGTGGCTAAAGCTTCTGCCCGAGGCTCAATAGGTCAAAAGTTCGGTCATTATGAAGGTCTTCTCAGCGATTCCATAGAGCTAATGATAAAAAGAGCACAAAAACAACTTTGGCCATTTGGTCGAGTGGCTAAGACTTCTGGCCGGGGCTCAAAAGGTCAAAAGTTCGATTCCACGTGGAGGTTTTTTCAGCGATTCAATGGAGGTCATCATATAGAAAGAGAAAGAGCAAAAATGTCAACAACGTCGAGTGGCTAAGATCGCGAAATACGGCTCAGAGGGTCACGATTTCCGATCCTGATGAGAACTTGGGGCTGTTTTAATTAAACTACTAGACTTTTGAACAAGTATTATAAATGAAACTCGAAAATCAACCTTTTCCAGTGGAAAACTCACCAATTTAACGATTTGATAGAGAAAAACGCTCATCGAAACGGAAACCAGCTTGCTCGGATGCGTGACGGGTCGAGTGCCTTTTTCTGAAATTTTTCATTTTTATTATAAAAAGTTTTTAATTTTTCCCTAATTTCCCTCATTAATCTTATTTTTTTCTTGATACATGAAGCTAACACGCACAGATAAAAAAATCAATTCATTAGAATACTCGAAACTTTTGAGGCTTTGGGAAAAGCAAGCTCGGGAGCGATTTTTTCAGCATAACTGTGCTCCATTGATAGAAACGGATTTTTAAACTTGAAAACTAAACGTTTTTCAAAATAATTCAACAGGAAATCACTTCATAGTATTCATTAAATTTTTAACAGAGCTCCGATTTCAAAATAGACCTAATCGGACGGAAAATGAAAAAAATAAAATTTAGGCTGAAATTTCAGATTCGATGTTTTTTTCAACACAACTGTGCTCCACTGATAAAATCCATGATTTTTATGATTTTTATTAATATTCCAGCAAGTTTAAACGAAGATCATTTGAAAAAAACAAGTTAAACAGAAAGTTCAAATTAAAATCAAGGAAGGCCAAATTTTTCAGTGAAAATGCGCTCCATTGACAAAAATTTTTTTGTGGTGTTTTTTTAAATTTGAACTTTCTTTGATGAAATATTCATATTAATTCATTTAAAAAAAACATTTTTAAAGTGTAATTTTTTTGATTAGGCTTCTTATCCAACATATCTTCGCTCCACTGATAAAAATTCATTTTTTTCTCCTATTTTTCCTTCAAAAACCACTGAAATATACATTTTTTTCAGGTTCCCCATAACTCAACCGCTCTTTGGAAAAACATTCCTTTCAGACCGAGTCAGTCAAAAAAGAAGGGGGGAGGAAAAGACAAGACCAATTTTAGGTTCGAAGGGGCCAAAAAAAGAGAAAAACACGTCATTTTGGCTCTTCGACTGCGGAAAAATTTCGTTTTTTTTCGTTTTCTATTTTTCCAAAAGGCACCCACGACCACCAGAAACCTACTCGGAGAAGAACCTATCCGAGATAAACCTATTATGGCCCCCCGGATTCTCCTTTTTGCCAACCACACACACACAACGACCTCCATATAGATGCCGAATGGACATGTGTCTTTCCAGATATCGAGTCGGATTGCCCTTCTCACGACGCTTTTAGTACACAATAACAACAAGAAAACATGGGGAAACTGGGAGAAAAATAAAGAAATTTGGCCTTTTTTCTCAGTCAATGATGCTCTAAGGATAATTTGTGATTATTCTAGCCGGAAAATACTTTTTCTGATTTTCTCAAGTCGTTCTTTTGAAAAGCAAGTATAATGGAAAACAGAGAGGAAAATAAAGAATTCTGGCCGTTTTTTCGGAGTCAATGATGCTCTAAGGATAATTTGGTCAATAACTGTTTTTTAGACTTTTAATAACAAGAAAACATGGGAAACTGGGAGAAAAATGAAGAAATTTGGCCGTTTTTTCTCAGTCAATGGTGCTCTAAGGATAATTTAGAATTCTTCTAACCAAAAACTTTTTAATCCTATGGCTTCATTTTCATTGCAAAAAACTTTTCTAACTTTAAAAACCATGAAAAACGTGAAAAACCAGATGAAGAAAGCCTACTTGGCCGTTTTTTCCCAGTTAAGTTGCTCTAATGAGAATTTCAGCAATTGAAAAAACAGTCATTTTTCGGTCTTATTTTCTCGATCAAAGTTTATCTTTCTATTCTTTCAAATATTGTATAACCATCTTCAAAAAAAAAAATCAACTAAATTTATCAATGGAGCAAACTTGTAATTTTACAACACAGTCACAAGAATGTTGCGCAAAAAATCGAAGATTTATCTATGGAGCGCAGTTTCCGAAACCTCCTCTCGAAAGGAAAACCCAGTATTATCAAGTAAAGACTAAAACTGAAGTTTGAATTTCTGAACAGAAAAACCTCGTTTTTCCCCATTTTTCAAGGATCCGAAAAATAAACCCAACCTGTAATATCTCAACAGGTCGTCATGTAGCCGATAAGTCACTGGAATATCGGCCCTTCTCAGCGTTTTGAAATTTTCGGGCAGTAGGTAATCGTTCCGCCCGAAGGCCCGTTTCAACCTTTCCATGGGCAAAAGTTCCCTTTCAACTTTTTCTTCTTCTTTTTCTTCTTCTTCTTCGATTGGAGTTGTAGGTATCGTGATGTTCTCTGAAAATTAGACTCTTTATCAAAGAAAAAGGCCAGAAATAAGAAAAACTGCGAAGATTCCCTTGATTTATCCATGGAGCGCACTTACCCCGTTTTTATCCATGGAGCGCACTTACCCAGTTTTAAAAAACTCCTTAGGGGTCCCTTAAAGATTTGAAGTCTTACAGGCGCCTATCATAACTCCAGTACAAACATCCGCTGGATCTGTTCACCATAGCGCAATCGGTAGCAATCTTGCCTAACGCCCACAAGGTCAAGGGTTCAATTCTACCCCAGGTCGTAAACATTTTTGCTTTTATTTTCCTCCAAAAACTCGATTCACCATGTCTCTCATGGCCTTTCAAGGTCTTCAAGGCCTCGGTTGACGTCGTCAGGCCGTCTAGAATCGGCTCGGAAGCCCGAGAAGACGTCAGGAAATTCAGAAGCAGCAGCAATAACAGCGGCGGTCGGCGACGTCGACTCATCTCCACATGGCAACTGGAAAATCTTGGTTTTCGTTCAAAAAATGAACAGAAAAACGAGGATGAAGCTCGAAAAACGGGGGAAATTTGTGAAAAAAAAATGTGTCAAATAGCTCAAAAAAATCAATTTTATCATCGAATTTGAGTATTTTTCACATCAGAAATGACTGGGAATTTAACAAAATTTGAGAAAAATGCGAAATTTCTGTTCAAAATCCACTCTAACACTCAACAATCTCAAAAAAATTTTTTTCAAAAAAACGAAGAAAAAAATTTTTTTAATTAAAAAAAGAAGCAAGTGCGCTCCGAGGAGAAAAAGTCATCAAAATTCATTTTTTTCGTTCAAAAATTCAATTTTTTTACATCAAATAATCTACGGAAATCCCTAAATTTTTCCTCAAAAAAACGAAGAAAAAAATTCGTAATTAAAAAAAGCAAGTGCGCTCCAAGGACAAAAAGTCATCAAAATTCATTTTTTTCGTTCAAAAAAATCTTTTTCTACATGCTAAAATCTACAGAAATTCTCAATTTTTTTCTCAAAAAGTCAAAAAAATCCTAATCAAAAAAACCAAGCAAGTGCGCTCCAATGACAAAAAAATCATCAAAATCCTTTCGTTTAAAAAAATTACTTTTTACACTCAAAAAAATCTACAGAAATCTTCAATTTTTTTCCTCAAAAAAACCAAAAAAACACCTTGAAACTTCAGCCCAACTGATCCTCTACACATGTTCTTTTTTCAAAAATAATAAAAAGTTACACTTTTGCGACAATATGCTGTTGGGATCCAAAAAAAAAACGCGAAGAAACGTGAATTTTAATACGAAACATGTGTAGTGAGAAGCCTGGGAAAAGGAGCTGTAAAATTGGAGAAAAAGGGTTTTTTCCGTTTTTCTGAAGCGGAATGAATTATTTTTCAAATTTTAAAGTTTTTCTAACCAATGAAAAAAAATCTTGCATTGATTTAACGTGTAGGGCCTTTTTTTCAAGTTGCGCCCGACCTGAAACGACTTACGCGCGGCTCACTTAAACTGGAAAAAAACCCGCAAAAACGGTCGGATTTATACTGAGAAACAAAATCTTGAGTAGAAAACCTCAAAATAAGGTCAAAAATGGTCATTTCTTGCTTTAAAAATCAACGGAATTTTCAACTTTTACCTTCAAAAATCGAAGAAAACTCCATATGTTCCTAATTTTTCTTTAACTTTAGAACCACCCTGACTAAAAAAACTCAAAAAAATGATCATTTAAAGCTCGGATACTGTTAAAAAAATCATCAAAAAAATTCCAATTTTTACTCTCAAAAAAATCGATCAAAACCTCAATTTTTTCCAATCTCAGACCCCCCAGACTAAAAATAACTTTGAAAATCGGTCGGATTGGTACCAAAAAAGCGCAAAAAATCATCAAAATTCCAATTTTTACCCTCAAAAATCAATCAAAACCTCAGTTTTCTCAATTTTCTTCGTTTTAAGAACAACCCTGACTGAAAAAAACCCGAAAAATGATCATTTACAGCTTGAAAATTGTTAAAAAGTCATCAAAAATTCCAATTTTTATTCTCAAAAATCGATCAAAACCTTAATTTTTTCCAATCTCAGACCCCCCCAGGCTAAAAATAACTTCGAAAAATCGGTCGGATTGGTACGAAACAACACAAAAACGAGGGAAAAGGAGAAGAAGAAGAAGCTGAAAAGGCGGCCGGGGCTCCCCCGAGGCTGCCCAATTGCCTCAATTAACCTTTCCTCCGTGGTTTACTACTGCATTTTTTCGTCCGGGTTTGTATATTTAGACCAGATTTTGGGGATATTTTATATATCAAGTGATTTTGAAGATATTTCAGTGTAGTGGATGAAATAATTACTTGAGGGATAATTTCCGGGTTTTTTTTAAAAGTTACACCAAGAGGATAACTAAAAAAACACAAGGAAAAAAATGAATTTTTTTCACAATTTTTTTTTTTTTTTGTGCTTTTTCTTCATTTTGACGCTCCCTGAAATCAAAAATAAAGAGAAAATATTCTAAAGAACGAGAAAATTTATATTCTCCACGATTTTTTTGAATTTTTTTGACCTTATTTAGGAGTTCTTACGGTAAAAAAACTTAGAAGAAAAAAACCCAAAAAAACCAAATGGAACATAAAACACTTAAAAAAATCAATAAAGCTTCCAAAAAAATTACAAAAAAACTATTTTTGAAAAAAATTAAAAAAAATCAATAACCACTAACTTTAGGTTGATTTATTGTTTGAACAGTTTTTCAACTCTGAGATCCAAAATTTGAAAACTTTTTCTTTCAAGAAAATTTTTTTTCGAACTGTCCAGGCCTGAATGTAAACTGAACTGCAAAAAAAGGAATAATAGCAAAAGAAAAATCGGAAATCTCAAAATTCCGCTTGAAACTTGAAAGCTGAGAAGTGAAAATTAACATATTCAAAAAAAGCGTCCGAACTTTTAAAAAGCGTCCGATTTCAAAAAGAAAGCTCTAGATTTCTTCCAAAAAAATGAAATTTCCAAAAAAATCTATGATATCGGAACTTTTCATGGCCTTTTGAGGAAATTCGAATTTTTGAGCTTTTAAGCATCGAAATCTACAGAAATTCGCCACCCCCTCAAAACTCGATCCAGGCCTCAAATTTAAATTTAGAAATTTCTCCGATTAAAAAAATTCTCAAAAAGAAATTGTTGAGTAAGGGCAAAATCAAGATTTAAAAACATTTTTTCGAGCATTAAATCCCCAAAAATTACACAGAAAAACGGGAAATATTCATCAAATCTTCCCTTTAAAATCCTGAAATCCACCAAAAATCGGCTCAAAACTATTTCTGGACCTCAAATCCAAAATTAAAAAATTCTCCAACCTAATCCCTTCCAGAGAAAGTTAGGGACCGCAAAGCCACGCCCCTTTTCGCGATAGAAAAAGTGGCTTTTTTTTGGTTTTCAACTTTCCTTTTGCTGTAGTTGCAAAATATGTGGAACTGGCTAATAAAATTTGGCACACATTTACAGAAAAAGCTTCCTCTTTCGTTTTAAAAAAAATATTTCACGCTTTTTTTGATGCGTTCGCGCGGAATGTCGTACAAAAAAACGTGAATGGAACTAAAAAAATTTTGTCGTTTTTTTGCTTTTTTTCATGTGTTTTTCAGGTCGAACGCACTCTTTCTTTTTTTATATAATGATTTTTGATTCAAGTAACGGTAATTTTAAAACAATAAAATAAAAAAATTCGTCTTTGCCAAAAAAATTTTTAGGGAGTGCCGAAAGTCATAATTCAAAATATCGTTAATAAGCGAATATAATCGAGTTTTTCGTTTTTTTCAAAAATTTAGACCATGGGCTTACGTAAAATTTTTTTCTCCACAGAATATGTGCTTGAAAAAAAGTTGTTTAATACGCAAAAAAATGCTCTTGAAACTAGAGAATAAAATTAGCGGCGTTTATCACACAGAAAGCGGTCGAACGCAGGTTTTTTTCAAACGATTATATACATTTATTAGTAAAAAAATCTTTCAATTAAAAAGAATAAAATAAAAAAATTCGTCTTTGCCAAAAAAATTTACGGGGCCGTTTTGAATGCAGTGATCGTTAAACGAGGCAAAAAAAGCACTGAAAAAAACTGTTTTTTTCGAAGTGAATTTCCACGGAAAAATTTGAGTAAAGATTTGCGAACATATTCTGATAAAAAGTAGCTAAATTACTTCAAATTTTTTTATTTTTTTGAAATAGGCAATCTGTGCTATCCAAACGGCTCAAGCGTAAGGCGGATGGAAGCTCCACGCGCTAGACATGACAGCTTGGCGCAGTGCGTGCGCTGCGATTTTTCATTTTGAGGTCGCGAGTTCGATACCCGCAAGCGTCAGTTTTTTGTTTTCTGCAAAATACCGACTTTTTCGGCAAACTAGTTGATTAGCATCATTTTAGCACTCTATTATAATTTGTTACATCATAATAGACCAGTATCAAAACTTGTTCTAGAAGAAAAAAATCGAGAAAAAAATGTCAAAAAAATGGATAATACCAAAATTTCAGTACTAAAAAAATGGTGCGCGGCGTGCCACATTTTTTTCGTCATAACTTTTTTTCATCCTCAATCTTTTTTCGAAAAAAACTAAACGGTTCTGAGTTTTTGAATCGAAACAGCTATCAAACCATACAAAGCTCAATGCTGAAAAAAAAATTTTTTTGAAAATTCGTCTGCGGTCCCTAGAGAAAGTACAAGAAAAGTGCCCAAATATGATAATTTTTTTCCAGAAAACTTTTTTTAAACCTTTCCAAACTGAACCACTTATTCAAGCTAAATCGTTGAAAAAAACACCAAATTTTTTTGATTTGCTGAAAAATCAAAATTAGGAAATTCTTAGGACCGATCCCTTCTGAAAAAAACGAAAAAAACGTCCGAAAAAAATAAAAATTTTTTTCAAAAAAATAAAAAAATCAATAATTTTTTTCATCTTTCAAAATGATAAATCTATCCGATCCGATTAGGTTATTCAAGCTAAACCGTTAAAAAATTATTTGATTTCTTGAGGAAAAAAACACAAAATAAAAAAATTTTTTTGGACCAACAGCCTCTGAGAAAGTACAGGAAAAAGTGCCCAAAAAAATCGATCATTTTTTTCAGAAAATTATAGAAAATCATCAATTTCTCACTTTATAAACTTGAAAAATCTAACCAATCTGAATAATTATTTGAGGGAAATCTTCTCGAAAAACAAAAAATCCACAATTACTCCTTGGAAAAGCTTCAAAATTCCGAAATTAAAAATTTTTTGGCCAAATCCGTTTCTTAATGTGGGAAGAAGTACAGCAAAAAGTATCCAATAAGTCATATTTTTTTACAAAAATTCATCGGAAAAGCTTCATAATCGCAAAATCGATCCCTTTCTTTGAAAGTACAAGAAAAAGGCTCAAAACCCATATTTTCAGAAAAATCATTCAAATTTTCAAAATCAAAGCTTTTATAAAAATTTCAAACACTTCAAAATCTTAAAATCCATCAAAAATCG